AAACTGGACATGATAGTCACAAATTTTGTCATGCTTATTTGAGTTTAGAGAACTGATGGGGATGTTCTTTTAATTGTTATTCAAGCAATGTATGTATCGTGCCCAACTCAACGAGTGTTGCCAACAGGAACGGTGTAGAGTGCCCTCTGGTGGACAAACTATACAACTCCAACACTCATGGCATCGTTGAAGCGTGTTTCGTCCATTTTAATTTTATTGTTGAAATATTCATTTATCGGCCATTATAACTGCCGATACCGATAGTTTGGAAAATGCCTAATATCGGCCGATAATATCGGCCTGTTGATATATCGGTCTGGCTCTAATATATATATTTTGTATGTTTTTTTTGTATATTTTGTATATATGTTTTTTAAAAAATATAAATATATTATATATCTATCTTTTGTCGTTCTCTCTCTCTCTCTTTCTTTATTTAGGACCAAGACAAGGAGTATGTGGGATTTGCTACTTTGCCAAATCAGGTTCACCGCAAATCTGTGAAGAAGGGCTTCGACTTCACTTTAATGGTGGCAGGTAATCTTTGAACATCATATTTCTGGAAATTAGCTTCAAAACACACTTTATGAAAAGTGTGTGTTCTCCTTTTTCTGCATTTGTATAGTAGTTCACCCAAAAATTGATCACATTGCTCTATTTCACCTACTGAAATCGAATGCGAACTGACGCTGTTGGCAAAAAAAAAAAAAACCCCACCATAAATCATAATAGCCATCCATATGACTCAAGCACTCTTATGGAGTCATGATAGCTTTATGTGAAATATAAGCTGTTATTCCCTGAATGTCCGACCGATGTCAAACGTGGTGATACGAGAAACGAAGACAAGATTTTCCTTTTTGGGTGAACTGTTTAATATCGATGGTGTGTTTTTGTTCGTCACAGGAGAGTCCGGTTTAGGAAAGTCCACCCTGGTCAACAGTCTGTTCCTCACAGATCTCTACAAGGACCGGAAGCTGCTGAACGCTGAAGGTGAGTCCATCTCTCGCGGTGGTTCGCGGTGAGGGTTTCTGGATGTTCTGATGGCTGTGTCGTTGCTAGAGAGGATCACTCAGACGGTGGAGATCACCAAACACACAGTGGACATCGAGGAGAAGGGCGTCAAACTCAAGCTCACTATCGTGGACACACCAGGGTTCGGAGATGCTGTCAATAACACTGAATGGTACATAAAGGGCATATATTATCATGATGTATCAATACTTGATGCTGTCAATTTCAATACATATGACTGGTCTTGCTGTGTGTTTTCAGCTGGAAGTCAGTGGCAGACTACATAGACCAACAGTTTGAGCAGTACTTCAGAGATGAGAGCGGACTGAACCGCAAGAACATTCAGGATAACCGAGTGCACTGCTGTCTCTACTTCATTTCACCCTTCGGTCACGGGTATGAGCATTATGAGCGCACATCTGATCAGACCTGACTTCTTTATGGTGGTGAAGGCTGGTATTCAAACTCGACACCTGCTGAAAAATCCAGCTAAAACCAGCCAAGGCTGGTTGGCTGGTTTTGGCTGGTCTCCCAGCCTGGTTAGTTGGTTTATCAGGCTGGTTTTAGAGGGGTTTTGAACACTTTTTCAGCTGGTCAGGCTGGTCTTAGCTGGTCAAGTTGGTAGCCAGGCTGGGAGACCAGCTTAACCAGCTAAGTCAGGCTGGGAGACCAGCTTGACCAGCTAAGCCAGGCTGGGTGACCAACTAAAACCAGCTACTTCCAGCTTAAACCAGCTAAGACCAGCCAACCAGCCTAGGCTGGTTTTAGCTGGATTTTTCAGCATAGTATAGCTCATGCTTTTATGCAAGACATAATCCATCTTATAATGCATATTTCACTCACTTTAATGCGACATACGCACGTTTTCTTTTAATCCAGATGCCCTTTTTTTCACCACAAGGCTTTTATACGGTTTTTTGCATTTGGAAAGCAACAAGATCAACTGCTTGATGTCTGTCTGAAATACTAGTTACAGATTTGTGACTATTAGAGTCATACATGTTTTGTTAGTTTTTTACTGGACAAAGATAAAAAAAAAAAGTCCTTGCTCCGTCTCAATGAGAGATATCCCAGTTAAAAAGTCACCAGCTCCCATGATCCATCTGTGCCCTCTGCTGGTCATGTCTGATCTGTGTCGGGAAGGCAAGCCAAGTCAACATGTGTATTGTTGCTGTTAAAATCAAACTCCTAATAATAAATGGCTGACAAACTTGTAGTGCGTGGTGATCATCGTCAGTGTGTGTTTGCATCAGTTTAAGGCCTCTGGACGTGGAGTTTATGAAGGCTCTCCATGAGAAGGTCAACATCGTTCCTGTACTAGCTAAAGCTGACACACTCACACCACTGGAGGTCAAGAAAAAGAAAATCAAGGCAAGTGCCCAAGCTGTGGAGCTGTGTGTGTTTGTGTATGTACCGTGGGCTTATTTCAGTTATTTGTGCTCAGATTCGAGAGGAGATCGAACAGTACGGGATAAAGATCTACCAGTTTCCAGACTGTGATTCAGATGAGGATGAGGACTTCAAACAGCAAGACCAAGAGCTCAAGGTTCACGCCTGTTATTCACATATAGTGTCCTGAGCCAAAGAGAGAGAGAAAATATGTGTGTTTTGCGAGCTATTCAGTAGTTCACTCAGTCCATTCAACAAATAAATAAAAAAGGACCTACTTTATGTTAGGTGTACCATGTACTTACATTAAAAAAAATAGGTACAATAGATGTATTATGTTCATAGGTGTGCTGGTATGAGTGAGTTTAAAGGAGGGTTAAAATGTAAGTGAAAACTCAACAGTATTATATTACAGAAATGAATTACAGCTTTATTTACATGCAGGTGCTTTTAAAATATAAGCACAATGTATGCAAAAAACGTGTATGCACACAATATAGACACTCATTTAAATGTTAGTTAAAGACATCTAATATAAATTGGTACCAAAAATGTGCTTATTTTAATATAATAGCCACATGAATAAGGTCCAGTAAACAGGCAGTAATACTTGGAAAGCATAGCTTTATTTGCTTTTGTTTAGTGGCCAATTTTTAACCAGTCCCAAAATATAAACCACCAGCAGTATACTGGAATGGCTGTTTTTGTGTCATTATTTTTAAAGGAGTAGTTCACTTTTAGAAGAACTTGTGCTGATAATTTACTCACCCCCATGTCATCCAAGATGTCCATGTCTTTCTTTCTTCAGTCGAAAAGAAATTAGGGTTTTTGATGAAAACATTCCAGGATTTTCTCCATATAATGGACTTCAATGGGAACCAAACGGTTCAAGGTCCAAATGAGAGTTTCAGTGCAAACTGTTCAACAGGCTTTAAACAAGATCAAAATGAACAAATCTTTTTTCGAGTCATTTGGTTCAACGAACGAAATGAACAAGTTGACTCTGGAAAAGATTCGCTCATTTTGATGAACGAGTTCGAACAGGAGAGTCACGAACGCGCATCACAGAACAGAGCAAGGCGAGCATTTGAGCTTATAAAACTTAAACTTTGTTATTTATTTATTAAACGAGCGATCGTTTCGCTTGATAAGACCCTTATTCATCGTCTGGAGTCGTTTAAAGCCCTTTGAACAGTTTGCACTGAAACTGTCTTTTGGACCTTGAACCGTTTGGTTCCCATTGAAGTCCATTATATGGAGAAAATGCTGGAATGTTTTCATCAAAAACCTTAATTTCTTTTCGACTGAGGAAAGAAAGACATGGACATCTTGGATGATATGGGGGTGAGGAAATTATCAGCGAAAGATTTTTTTTAAAAGTGAACTACTCCTTTAAATATATTTTTGTTGTTGTTACACCCCTACAAGATTGTGTTTCTTGTCCTCCTCCTGTAGGACAGCATTCCCTTCGCTGTGATCGGCAGTAACACAGTAGTGGAAGCCAAAGGCAAGAGGGTTCGAGGACGTCTGTACCCCTGGGGAATCGTTGAAGGTATGAACAAACACACCTCACAAGACTTTCCCACTGTCAGTAAACCACACAGGGGTGACCCTATTCTGTTGTGTGTGTTTGTTGGACAGTGGAGAACCCAGCACACTGTGACTTTGTGAAGTTGAGGAACATGTTGGTACGAACACACATGCAGGATCTGAAGGATGTGACCCGGGAAACCCACTACGAGAACTACAGAGCCCATTGCATCCAGAGCATGACCCGCATGGTGGTGAAGGAACGCAACCGCAAGTACGCAGCCTCGATTCAGGCAGAAGAAGCTGTGTTTTCACTCTCTGTCAGCTTTTGTTTTGAACAACAGTGGCCCCAAAAAGTATTTGGAAACTTAAGTCACATATTACATTTACAGTAAGAAAAGATGAAAAAGTTGTATAGCGCCTTTCCATAACTCAAGTTATAGCCTTACAAAAAAAAGTACATTTCAAGGAAAACAAAGCACACAGAGTACAAATGATCGAAAATACATTTACAATGGTTTTTGAAATAATAGGTCTTGAACGTAGACAGAGAAGAGGCTACAGAAACCCAGATAGCGTTAAAGGAGAACTCCGGCGAACAATGAACCTTTGGTCTAATAAAACATCGGTACCGAGTCAATTGTTATCTGAGATTTGTTTTCATGATAATCGAATGTAAAGAGTTTTATCTCTAAAAACTGTTTAGCGTATAACGCTAGTAATGGGGGCATTGACTAAGTAAAAAGAAATCGCTTGTTAATACCAATATCAAGGCTCAAAATTGCCCCACACTAACACAGTAACATAATGAGGGTCCATACATGCAAAACGAAGCATTGAGAACTTTGTAAGTGTACAGACCGTTTAATAAGAAGATACTTTATGAAGACAGTTCACTTCGTGTATACAGACAGGAGCCATCAATCCCCGAAAGCCGATCATACAGTTCAGATCACTCAGCACGACGTTCGTGGTTTGACTTGCCGTGACTGTTTTCCAAGATGGCTCCTGTCTGTATACACGAAGTGAACTGTCTTCTTATTAAACGGTCTGTTACTGCGTTAGTGTGGGGCTATTTTGAGCCTTATTAGTGGTATAAACTAACGATTTCTTTTTACTTAGTCAATGCCCCCATTACTAGCATTTTACGCTAAACAGTTTTTAGAGATAAAACTCTTTACATTCGATTATCATGAAAACAAATCTCAGAGAACGGTTGACTAGGTACCGATGTTTTATTAGACCAAAGGTTCATTGTTTCCCGGAGTTCTCCTTTAAGTGATGTACTAACACTTGAGTCATTAGTGGATTACCATGATCTTTACTTTAGAATTAATTGTACATATCTCATTTATTAACTTGTATATTGTACAGTAGGAGTCTTCTGGGAGATAAATAAAAAACATAGTAGGTATTGATTAGCTAATAGTGAATTACCTCATTCAACTGAGTGATATTACTTGCTAATAATTGGTAAGTCAGAGTGTCTTGTTGTTTAATAGAAGTAGAGTGTTAATCCTGCGTTACTCGTTTGTTTCTCTGTAGTTATTCATTAATGAGAGAACCGTATTCTAAAGTTTTATCAAGAAGGGATGATGAAACACAAAATGATCTTTCACCTATAGTGGACAATCAAGATCTAGGCCCAGATCTGACTATCTAAGAGAGCTTTTGGTGGGCAGGTATGGGCGAAGCAGGTCAGACACTAAGGCTTTAAATTCCTTTAAATCCCTAAATGTTAGAGATATCGTAAAATAAATGTGTAATGCAAAGGTAGCCAGTGAAGATCACAGTCTGAGAGGTGATAAAAGGACGGATTTGATACGAACCCTATCAATATCAAAGCACAGAGCCAATCAGCGATATTTCAGTTTTGTTATTATTCGGTTTAGGAAATTTCAGGGACATTCAGTGTTTGATATCATAAATGTAGTAAGTGTATCAAGAAGAGATGGCATGTCCAAGCTTTTTGTCATCAGCATAACAGTGAAAATGAAGTCCAAACTTTTATGGATATGTATAGGATGCATGTCGATGATAAAAAATGGACCAAATACTGAACCCTGAGGAACACCATGTGTCAGAGAGGAGCAGAAGCAGATGTGTGTACCTTAGCATAGTAATAAAATACTTTCAGTTGCTGAGGTAAGAAGTGAGCCAGGGAAGATCTGAACCAATGATGGCCATTTCAGGCGAGAATGAAAAGTAAGGGACGAGAATTGAGGATAGTTGAGGATAATAGGATGTTTATAAATCTAGAATCCACAGATAGGAGGATGTCATTGGTCACTGAATAACAGCTGTTTCTCTGCTGTGTGATTGACAGAGTACAGACTGGATCAAAAACACCATTTGCAGTTTGGTAAGATCGTAATGGAGAGGCCACTACTTTCTCTAAAACTGTGGCCAGGAACGGGAATTTAGAGATTGGCCTGTAATTGTTAATATTCAACGCATTCTCATCCTAAAGCGCCATATACAACGCTTTTGCAAAAGCGTAAATATCCAACGCACATGGCACCCTTTAACGTCTAATGAGACGCTTCGGTTATGGTTAAGTTTAGGTATGGTGTAGGGTAAGGGTTAGACCACTTGGGGGCGCCTTCTGCCTAAATATATCTGCGTCTCATTTGACGTTAAAGGGTGCCATGTGCGTTGGATATTTACGCTTTTGCAAAAGCGTCCTATATGGCGCTTTGGGATGAGAACGGGCTCTAATATTTCAATGATCTAAGCTAGATTTTTTTAAGGATGCACATATTTTCTCAGGTGTTTGGGAAATGGCTTTACAACACATTACCATTGGGCCGTGAGATCGTAAAGAGTCTGACAAAGTAGAAAAGTATGGAAACAGAGTAAGACGAAGTAGAGGCTCTTACGATTGAGTACTTACAAAAAAAGTGCGTACATTATAGAAACAGAGATTCACGATGGGTTCACAGATGGGATTTTACTGTACTTTTGTCTTACGTGATGTAGAAAATTGGAAAACTCAAGCTAAAGTTTGTGATCAGAGAAAGCAAAGACAGAACCAGTAACGCAGACATTATGAAATACAGTTAAATGACCCCTGGAGTGAGTTGCAAAATGTTCAATTAACTTTGCATTAACAGTATTTTTATGAATTAAAATCCCTAAGTACAATAACAGATCAAACTCTAGCATGGACAAGAGTTAAGGCCCCGATAAACTAAAAAAAAAAGTTATTTTTCATTCTTCATTGAGGGGTAAAAACAAGTTCGCAAAACCCTTGTAGCGGTTTACTGCTAGCGAACCCTTTCCGATCAGGGAATAGTGAGCAGGTTTACGTAGACCTCAGATTTCTGCATGATCTTTCTGTCCACATTTACGGGGAGCACAGGTGAAACGCTCAAAGTGTCTTTCACGAAAGGTGGGTGGCGTAAAATTACAAGCTGTTTACGCCATTCATAAACGTTTGGAGGCAAATGAGCAGTTGAGAACTGAGGAGCCGTGCCAGAAGAAACGTCAGTCAATAACTATGCAAAAAGACGAAAGCACTCACACAGAGACATGGCCAATGATTGATCGGGACACAAACAAACAACTGATCAATGTATCTGCATTAGCCAACACAGTATCGAATTCACATCTACAAGGCTACCATCCACACCAAGGAGTAATGATGCCAGTACAAACGATAAAGCGAGTGGAGATCAGATGTTGGAGATCAGTGTGAGGGGATCACCAAAAAAAATAGTCCAGGTCAATCGACTCCACTAAAACAGGATCTGAAAACAACACACACACGCTGGAGGAGTGTGAAGCCACACCGTTAGGCAGTGTTGTAGTCGAGACCACCTCACTCGAGTCCGAGTCGACACCGAGACCAGAGAGAGTCGAGTCCGAGTCCATAGAGAGTCGAGTCCGAGTCGACACCGAGTCCATAGAGAGTCGAGTCCGAGTCGACACCGAGACCAGAGAGAGTCGAGTCCGAGTCGACACCGAGTCCATAGAGAGTCGAGTCCGAGTCGACACCGAGTCCATAGAGAGTCGAGTCCGAGACCAGAGAGAGTCGAGTCCGAGTCGACACCGAGTCCATAGAGAGTCGAGTCCGAGTCGACACCGAGTCCATAGAGAGTCGAGTCCGAGACCAGAGAGAGTCGAGTCCGAGTCGACACCGAGTCCATAGAGAGTCGAGTCCGAGTCGACACGAGTCCATAGAGAGTCGAGTCCGAGACCAGAGACAGTCGAGTCCGAGTCAAGACCGAGTCCATAGAGAGTCGAGTCCGAGACCAGAGACAGTCGAGTCCGAGTCAAGACCGAGTCCATAGAGAGTCGAGTCCGAGTCAAGACCGAGTCCATAGAGAGTCGAGTCCGAGTCAAGACCGAGTCCATAGAGAGTCGAGTCCGAGACCAGAGACAGTCGAGTCCGAGTCAAGACCGAGTCCATAGAGAGTCGAGTCCGAGACCAGAGAGAGTCGAGTCCGAGTCGACACCGAGTCCATAGAGAGTCGAGTCCGAGTCGACACCGAGTCCATAGAGAGTCGAGTCCGAGACCAGAGAGAGTCGAGTCCGAGTCGACACCGAGTCCATAGAGAGTCGAGTCCGAGTCGACACCGAGTCCATAGAGAGTCGAGTCCGAGACCAGAGAGAGTCGAGTCCGAGTCGACACTGAGTCCATAGAGAGTCGAGTCCAAGTCAAGACCGAGTCCATAGAGAGTCGAGTCAGAGACCAGAGACAGTCGAGTCCGAGTCGACACCGAGACCAGAGAGAGTCGAGTCCGAGTCGACACCGAGTCCATAGAGAGTCGAGACCGAGACCAGAGACAGTCGAGTCCGAGTCGACACCGAGACCAGAGACAGTCGAGTCCGAGTCGACACCGAGTCCATAGAGAGTCGAGTGCGAGACCAGAGACAGTCGAGTCCGAGTCGACACCGAGACCAGAGAGAGTCGAGTCCGAGTCGACACCGAGTCCATAGAGAGTCGAGTCCGAGTCGACACCGAGACCATAGAGAGTCGAGTCCGAGTCGACACCGAGTCCATAGAGAGTCGAGTCCGAGACCAGAGACAGTCGAGTCCGAGTCGACACCGAGACCAGAGAGAGTCGAGTCCGAGTCGACACCGAGTCCATAGAGAGTCGAGTCCGAGTCGACACCGAGTCCATAGAGAGTCGAGTCCGAGACCAGAGACGGTCGAGTCCGAGTCGAGACCGAGTCCATAGAGAGTCGAGACCGAGACCAGAGACAGTCGAGTCCGAGTCGAGACCGAGACCAGTGAGGGTTGATTACCTAATTTACTTTTATTTACTTAGAGAAATCCTTTTTTTTTTGTTACTGAATTTACTTAGAGTTTAAAAAATATGATCAGTTTAGGGTAAAAAGGCCACATAGTAGGTGGTGTTAAAAGTAATTTTATTACAATTTGTCATGCGCAGTTGCGCACTAGAAAATCACCAACCACTGGGCGTGTCAATCAATTTAAAGAAATATTTTATTAACATACATTAATAATCATGAAAAAGATTTTTAATTGAACTCGAGTGGACTCGGGAATAATTCCGAGTCCTAAAAAAAAAATGTTCGAGTACGAGTCAATTCCGAGTCCAAATGGACACGAGTCCATGACAAGACCAAGACCATTAAAATATGGTCTCGAGACCGAGTCCGAGACGAGTCCGAGTCTCGAGTACTACAACACTGCCGTTAGGCTTACACTGCATGATGTTACCTGTTGGACACGGCTAAATATGAGCACACAGTGAGAATCTGAGATATATTTCAATATCAGCAGATTTGACTTTATTTTATGAGATACTAGTTGAACATGCTTTTTGGGGCTACAGTGAACGATGGCATGTGTTTTGCTGGTGAACTGACCGTACGTTGCATGCATGTGCTGTTTTGCTCCGAGCAGCAAACTGACCAGGGAGAGCGGCACCGACTTCCCCATTCCCATGGTGCCCGGTGTCGCGGACGAGACGGAGAAGCTCATCCGAGAGAAAGACGAGGAGGTACGGCATTCTCCCTGCCAAGATCAGCATGAGCATGAGCAAACACCACACCACGAGCACGAGCCGCTCTCGGAGCCGGAGCCGTGTGCGGAGCCTCTCTCAGAGCCCGACCCCGCCGCCGAGGGGTCCTGACAGGGCCACACTAACCCCTGACCCTCACACACCCCTCTAGACTGCCACTGGCGCCCCCTGCAGGTGTGCCTGCACTTCTCTGGCCTGATGCACTTTAGGACCGGCTGAGAAACGTGCAGCGTGTGTTTATCCAACCCCGAAATGAGGAAGATGATTATTATTAGCAAATTAGGCCTGTTGTTAGGAGTTTTTGTAAATAATTCACACTAACACAATGCAATAATGTGTAATATGGTACTAGATCATACCGTCCATTTAATTAAAAAAAGGCGAAATTAAACACAATAACAGTATGAATTATAATTAGGGCTGTCAAATGATTAATCACGATTAATCACATCCAAAATAAAAGTTTTTGTTTACATGATATATGTGGGTAAACTGTGTATAATTATTTTCTATGTATATAAATACACACATATGCATGTATATTTAAGAAAAAAATATTTATATATAAAATATATATATTTATATATAATATAATTTATATATAAATCTATATATACAGTATATACATGGAAATATTTGCTTAATATATACAAGCATGTGTGTGTATTTATATATATAAAATAATTATATACAGTTTACCCACATATATCATGTAAACAAAAACTTTTATTTTGGATGTGATTAATCACGATTAATCATTTGACAGCCCTAATTATAATACTACATTAGGTAACACTTTACTTGAAGGGGTGTGCATAAGACTGACATGACACCTTCATAACCAAGATATGACATATGATATGAACATGAAGGAAGTTTTATTCATGTTTGTTACAACTCTCGCTCCATTATGACATTTTGAATGCAAATATGACATTGTTTGAGATGTCTTTGTTATGACAACTTGACATTACTAAGACAACACAACCTGTCATAAACATGACATAGCAGATTAATGATCAAACTTAAGAAACCACCTAGCTTTATTGGTTAACATTACATTAAACTGTCAGGTGGTTGGTTTTGTCATTGGCGTTCATGAAGCCATTATAACTTTTTAATGACAAATTCAATTAGTACCACTGTAGTTGAGCTCACGAAAAATATTCATGACACAGTTATAATGCCTCATGACAGCCAATGTCAAAGCCAACCACATGACAGTTATTTTATTAACACAGACTTAAGTTATCATGACAAAGACACTGACAGGTTATGATGTATTGGTTTATGTCAAGGTGTCTATCTTAATGTCATATTTGCATTAAAATGTGAAAAGACACTTAATGACACTTGTCATAAACATGCATAAACCCTCTTTCATATTCAAGACATATGTCATGTCATGATTATAAAGGTGTCGTGTCAGTCTTATGCACACCCCTTCAACTAAAGTGTTACTTTATATTACTCTATAACCCACTTTGTAAGTGTGTGTTTAACTACTATTTGTTAACATTTAAATTAATCAATTGATACAGTCCATTTATTGTGTACATACATGATTTGAGATTGTAATTATATTTAAAATAACTGCATTAGGGCTGTCAAACAATTAATCGCGATTAATCGCATCCAAAATAAAAGTCTGTGTTTACATAATATATGTGGGAGCACTGTGTATCATTATATATATATATATATATATATATATATACACACACACGTTTGTATATATATAAGAAATATTTTCATGTATATACTGTATTAATATTTTTTTCCTAAATATATACAAGCATGTGTGTGTATTTATATATATACAAAATAATTATACGCAGTGCACCCACATATATTATGTAAACACAGACTTTTATTTTGGATGCGATTAATCGCGATTAATCGTTTGACAGCCCTAGTAAATACAGCTGTGATTAGTTTCTGTGAGCACGTCTATAATTACACTACCCAGAGAACCGAACCTGTCCTAAACCTACCCGTATTACACCACAACAGTGTCCTTGTTACACGTCACATGTTAATAACAGTAAAATGAGCATGAGTACACGCAACTAACCCTAACCCAAACCCTATACAGTGTTAACACAAGTGCTTTGTATCTTGTAAGAACATAGTAGTTAAAGACACCTCAAATAAAGTGGACAGCTACAGAAATGAGAATGATACCCTGCAGTTTTCGAAAATCTTACAGCGATATAAGCTTTTCCAGTATTTTCCTGTAGCACGTTTTTAATGAGTACAGGCTAGTGCTTATTTCAGAAATCATGTATTTTTGTATCTTAGATGAATGTTTTCTTTCTTGGAGTAGATTGATGAAAAAATGCCGTTTTCTGTTATGGATTTATTGCCCTGGAATCAGTCTTCTGTGATTAAAGTCTTGATGATCTGACATGGCGCATCTGTATTCATACACACCTTCCACGAGCGTTGCTGACGTCTGAGTGTTGTTCTGATGAAGATCTCCGGTCTCTTTCTGAACTCTAACACACATAAAGTTGCTCACGGAAGTCGTTCCACACAAAACAAAGCATTATGGGCATAAATGTCTTGATCTTGGGTAAGCATGGAGTAATTGACTCAGTCTGGACCATTGCGTTCAGCCACGACACAAACCTCCCCTTTGGGTGCGCAATCCATCATTTTTCAATAATTATTAGTCAGAAAATGACAACAGTCTAACACAATGGAAATGATTTCACATCTGATTTACATTTTAGTATCGATCAGTGGTATGGATTTGAGCTTATATGCTGTAGGTTACGTAACAACTCCAACAATGCCAACGTGTCAATATCCCAGAGGTCACGTACCAAAAGCACTGACACCAGCTCACGTGACTTCCCCTGGCCTGACATGATTGGTTAGGTTGGTGGTCGGCGTCACATGACTCGTCCAGCCTCAGGCTGATTGATTGGCCAGTATTGATGGATCGGTTGTGGTGATTGTGTGCTGTGTTCTTCTTCTGCAGTTGAGACGAATGCAGGAGATGCTGCAGAAGATCCAGGAGCAGATGCACACGCAGAAAGAGACGTATTAACAGCGGTTTCACCCGGCGGAGTCTTCACTTCTCACTAACACTTCTGGGTCTCATTTCCAAATAAAAATAATAATAATAATAATAATAATACATTCTTTGAGTTTGAGGTGAAATTTCACCCAGACCTGTTGGTATGAGTAAAGGTTCAAAAGGTTTCCATTGTGACTGACACTAAACTTGACTCAATGCTACCGTGTGCACTCGGGTTCATCCAATATGTGTCTCTACCCCAAGATTGTTTTATAGTTGCTTGATATCATATTTAATTTCTTTTTTTCTACAATGTGTAACTTTATTTTGTACAATGTTCATTAATTGCATCGTTGTAATGTATGTCTTTTGGTTTTGTTTGTATTTCTATAAAAACAAAAACTGCAAAATGGCTTCTTTTAGAAAGTTTCTAAATGGAACAAAAAAAAAAAACCAAGTTTTATTTTCTTATTGGAGAAATACCGTACTGTAGAGAGATATTTTTGTTAACACGGCTAACACGCGTATTGTTTCTCGTCTGGATAAGATGCATGTTTAAAGAAGAAACGTCTTTCGGTGCGTTCACGTCATGTCAGAATCACGGTTTAGCTGTGCATGTTGAAGAGCTGCTGGCGGTCATGTGATCTCCTGGCGAAACGTGAACGCACCGATATATACTTATACTGCTGTTTCAGTGGCGGGAAGGGTGCTCGTTGTGACCATATCTGTGTTACAGTCCATAAAATAAATGATATTTCTCTTGCATCATATATATTTTCTTGGGTAATGTTGGTGAAACAAAAAACACACCTTGAAATAACAGTGAATGAATAAACCTATTTGCTATATTTTATTTCTGTCATTTTTCTGTCAAGACTATTATCGGATAATATCATGTTCATTTTTAAGGGCCTTTGAAAACGTATTAGAGATCTTATTAAGCTTTTAAAAGTCCCCTTTCACAATGCGGTGCTTTGAATTGATGCTTTCAGGCTTCCATTAATGTGGTACTTTTTGAGTGGATGGATGAAGATTGAATAACTAGAGATATTTGAATAATTAGGGCCCTAGCACCGATGGTAAGAGGACCCTATTGTATTTTTGTATTTTTTCATGTACAGGTATGAAATTTGGTACATACATGTAATGACCTACAAAAAAGTCTCTTGGAGCATAGCCCTAAACACAACAGGAAGTCAGCTATTTTCAACTTCCTCCTAGATTTTGCGCATTTTTCGTAATTTCCTGATGTTGTACTTAAACTCCTCCTACAGTTTTGATCTGATCCTCTTCAAATTTGGTGAGCGTAATCTTAAGGCCTTTGCGACGTTAAATTGCGAAGATCTTGAGTTTTCGTCGAAGGGTGTGCCCATGGCGGCCTGACAAATGTACACCCAATTTCAGCCTTTTGGTGATTTGTGCATGAATGTGTCATATAGGTCAATATTGCTTGCAGTTCCGATGTTGCTAGGCAACCACAGACGGCCTGCAGTAACTCAGGCATACAATGTCCGATCGGCCCCAAACTTCACACGTTTGAGAAGAGTCCTGTCCTGAACACATGACCATGCTCATATTAGGTTATAGCAATAGCGCCACCTGCTGGTAGCAGGAAGTGTGCAAATACAAATACTTTGACATAAAGTGGTGTGAATAAGTGTTTGCCCCCATGCTAAAGTTGCCTAAAAAGAGGAATAAAAAAATCTTCTTTTGGATATTGATCTTAATGCCTTAATTAGAAAAATGAGGACAACTCCAACCTTTAAGGACACAAATTTTCTTTGTGAATGAATAATGTATCATAAATAAATAAATAAATAAATGTTTTTCCTTAAAATACAGGGTGCATAAGTCATTGCCCCCCTATGTTAAATTCCCATAGAGTCAGGCAGATTTTTATTTTTAAAAGCCAGTTATTTCATGGATCCAGGATAATATGCATCCTGGTAAAGTTCCCTTGGCCTTTGGAATTAAAATATCCCCACATCATCACACACCTAGAGATTGGCATGGTTTTACTTCAGTTAGCCTAATAGCTGGTTTGATTTGCATTGAAAGATGATCTTATGGAAAGTACCCCATGCCAATCTCTAGGTGTGGTGAATGGTGTGTGATGATGTGGGGATATTTTAATTCCACATTTAATTCCATAATTGTTTTCTTGATCATCAAATCCTCACATTATTGATTTCTGGAGGATCATGTGACACTGAAGACTGGAGTAATGATGCTGAACATTCAGATTTGTCTTTACAGAATAAATGATATTTCAAAATGTATTAAAATAGAAAAGTTATTTTAAATTGTAATAATATTTCACAATATTACTGTTTTTTAATCAAATAAATTCAGCCTTGGTGAGCAGAAGAGACTTCTTTTAAAAACATTAGCAAAACTCTGACTGGTAGTGTACATACACAAAATCAGCCAAACAAAATCTAAAGTTAATGATTTAAGGGTCAAGAGCCCAACTAAAGCAAACCCTGATCTCCATAATGGTGACTTAAAATTACAGTTTTCTCCTTCAGGGATTCTGCTGGTTATCTTTAGATGTCTTCAGTGATGCTCAATTATTCACTTAATTATCTCATTAACTTTAACACTGCTTCAGTGTTTATATGAGCCCACACTCAGAGTGTTCATTTAACATTGGGGGTTTTTCTGTGTCTATGAAGCTCACACTTGTGTTTTAAGTGTTGTCCGAGTGCTTGTTGGCATCACTGCGCTCACTTCAGCTCTGATCTCGTCTCTCCGGTCGGCAGTAAACAGCTAAATAAATGCACTGAATCACTTACACTTAGAATCAAGTCAACTATGCACTTAAAAAAAGTGATGCAATAACTGCAGCAAGTCACACACATCTTTTATAAAACACACACAAACGCATATAAGAGAGGAAAATTTATGAATAAGGGAATAATTGGATAGTATTGCATTGATATAAAGCTCATGACAGAACTTTGAGATGTGCTGGACGTGACAAACAGCAAAGCTTTATCAGTGCAGGTGGGTGTCTGTTTGTCAGAGCAAATCTAACCCCGATGATCCTTGAACACATGATCCCGACAATCAATGCATCCGTTTGGACACAGAAGAACTCTTCAAACCGGCCATTCGGCTTTTATTTCAACTATTTCAATTGTTCCAAGCATTTGGACGCAAGCAGGGAGAAGAACGTGTTCATCATGTCTTGGATGCTTGCAAAAAAAATAAATATATATATATAGATATATATATATATATATTTAGAAGAATGTAACCAAAACCGTATATATTTTTTGTGTCCGACAGAAGAAAGAAACTCATACAAGTTTGTAACAACTTCGAGGCTGAGTAAATAATGACAGAATTTTCATATTTAGTGAACTACCCCTTTAACAGCTCAAAACTGCCAGGAACTCATGCTGCCTTTACTCTTTATAGTGACTTTCCTCAAGTCCTTCAGTTTTCATGAAGACAGGCCTGCCGTGTGTGTGTGGCTGCGGGGGTCTGAGGTCAAAGATCAGTGCCGACATCAGCACACACTCGCCATGATCTCCCCCTATATCTGTGTGTGTTCAGTGACCATTGGAGTTTCATTCAGATGCCGAAATAAAAGAATCGTACAGAAATGTTTCAGTGAGAACATGATGCGAATCATGACTCGATTCATTTTTCCAAAAGTTTTTTTGCTTAAATGCATTAAAAAATACATAAAATTCAGCATTTCCATGAATTAGACAGATCTACATTTGAGACATCTTTGCTACTCGTTAAAACCCATATAGGCTAATTGAGAGAAATCATTCAATTTGAATTCATTCTGTTGACATTATTACATGTACATATAGACCCGACGTTACAGTTACGTCACGGCGCTAGCTGGAGGCAAAACAAAGTGTAAACTGGAGGCGGCCAATACAAACCAGCACAGATTCGGCTACATAATAAGGAGCTTAAATAATTTTTACTATTATTAAATGTCATCTTGTTGTGTTGTGCAAGAATTGATGAAAAATGAATATGCTGTATCTGGAACTTTTATTTTATTATTATATTATATGTCCATATAAGTAATTGAATAAATGAACCTATTTGACTGGGATCCTACTTTATCAGTTGTGAGTTATTTGGTGTGGGTGTTTTCTTTCCCCAGAGACAACTAATACTTTCACTGTAAAAAATGATTTTTTGATTAAGTAAATACTAGTGAAAAAACCCAATGTAATTTACTTGAAAAAGTTAGTTCAGGCAAGAATTTAAAAAACTAAGTAAATTCCATATCAGTACTTATTTCAAGCGAGTATAAATGAAAGTGTAATATCAACTCAATAAAATTAAGTAAAAAAATTGATTTTTGTTTTCAGTATTAGTAAATTGCCATTTTGTGACATTTCGAGTAAATTTTTTGCTTAAAACGACACATTCAAACACAAAAACGATCCATCAAATGTTACCACCATTGTGTATTGTCTACCAAGTATTGAGGTGTTTGCATTCACATAAGGCTTAAAGTCTGACATGATGTATATATAAATTACTTAGATGATCTAAGTAAAGAACATACTGTAAATGACTAATAAAATTCAAGATAATTGTTTTAGTGAAGTGTAATACAAAGGCAAAGGAAATCGTTATTAATCAACCTTTTACAAGCTGGGTTAAAATTACTTATTTTTGGTAAAGTTTACTTAATTCCACATTCCAAGTAAGTTTAACTTAAAGATTTCTAAATAAAGCTACTGATAAATATGTTTAGGTTTTTACTTGGCAAATCTTTGTAAATTTACTAGCATTTTCTAGCATTTACTAGCATTACTAGGATTTTAAAAATGATCGTGATTTTAACGGTGAAAGACTGTTAAAAGAAAAGCATGCTACAGTGAAAAAACGTTAATTGGTTAACCGAACCTTTCCTTACTATATATACGGTAAATAACTGTGATAGATCTAATGGTAAATTTCATGTAATTTTACTGTAAAATACTGTTAAATTTACAGTTTTGAACAACTCATTGTATAATTTAAAAAACGTAAATTGACATTCCCACAATTCCCTGCATGACACTTTGCATTTGATGTATTTTTGTTGAAATAACTTGTTTCTTCATAATTTGCTAAGTATTTTTTTAATCAGTTGTGTACATTAGGGTTTTATGTGTCATTTAATGCTGGTCAATTTATTGCCTTTTTAAAATTTTACAATTATTGTTTGAGTGAATGACACTGTGCAGCTTCAATACATAAATATTAAGTTTCTTATGTGATGAGCTTCCATATATCATGTGACTGTTGGTTATCAGTGTATTACAATGGTACAAAACAGATATTAATACTGCATTTGGTTGATAATTGCACATTATATCAAATAATGCAATACAGTTTATTTCTGTAAATTTTAAGTTAAGTCTGTAAAACCTTGCTACCGTATTTTATACGGTAAATTTCTGGCAACCACATAAAATATCTGGCAACCTGCCGGTATTTTACCGTAAATTGAACACATTTTTTTTTACAGTGTAAACCCAGACAGCAACTTAGTGTCGGCCCAAATCCGGGCCACATCTGGTACAGTACATGTGGATTCAACGCGTACCAGATGTGGGCCGACACTGTATTGCTGTCTTCGCTAGTTTAATAAGGACAGTATTGTCAGTACGGCCAAAGCACACTTTATGTGAATTACTGTTGAATTACTGGGGTTTGCTTGTGAATCAATGAGACTTGAACTGTATCACTGAAGCAACATTCTCCTGAACAGATGATTAACTCAGTTGACAACATACATGAACAGATAAAGAAAAGCATGACTAATGCCCCTTTAGACTCCTGCTGGAGCGCTCCAACTCAAAAGTGTGTGTGAAAGCGCTGCTGGCTTTGAGTTTCACAGCAGTAAGAAATGCTTCTGCTAAATGAATATGCATGAGTCTGGGATCAAACTGGCTCATTATTGGCCATTTTACAGCAGTTGAATTTTGAAGTCTTCAATTCTATCAAAAAGAGCGTGTCCATTTAAAAATGTTACCTTCCCAATCACTCCATTTTACAAGTTTTCAAGGTTTTTTTGTAGCTCCTCCACACACACACACACACACACCAGAGCCTCGAAGTCCACTTCAGCCAACAGCCGTAATGACTCTTTGACCCATTTGCTCTGAAACAGCGGCTGGCAGTGTTCTGCTGTGTGCTCATACAGACAGTGTGTACTAGGAACGGTTACGACACACACCGCATGCCCCTGCAGGCCTTATCACAGAGGACATTCACACAAGCCCTGGCCCTTACAGCGAAAACCACAGACACACATGAGGGACGAAACTCTGCTGACATTGATTTTCTACCGAACCCTGTGTTTGCTCGAGTAGTTTACTTAAACTCCTACTCAGATGAGCCGATATGCACAAATCATGAACCCTTGGGGATTATACATTGTATAAGGTTCATGTTTTTCTGAGATGCATGTGATTGAAGAAACGCTTCTTTTGAAGCCCATGTTAAGCCTCACGTGAGGTGTGATTGCTCACAGGTCTCTCAGGGAGTTTCTCACAAGGACACAAGATAACGTTTCAAAACCATTTTACTTTAGCAAAAACAGTCTGCATTATAAAAATGTTAGTCGTTTTGCAGCAGATTTCATGTTGTATTTCTCTCTTTTTTCTCTCACAATGATAAACTTTCAAGAAGAAGACACAAATCATGTCCATGAATTAATCAACACTCCAATATCATTTGAAGAGAGATGGTTATAAACACAAACTCACACATTATAATTGGAAACAAATAAACTAGAAAATGTGTTGTAGCCCTCAAACCGTATTCACTTTATAGCCCTTGGCACTGAGGACTCAGGTGTGATCCTAATTTTTATTTATTATAAATGTTATATCACTGTCTTCGATAAAGTTTTGACTATGCATTTATGGTGTTTTTTTAATATTTTGGGGGGTATTTTTATTTATTTACTTCAAAGAGTACCATATTTTCTATGCAAATTATGCTTATTTTTATGTTTTATGTTCTTTATTTTTGTAACTACATTAAAATATCATTCCAATAAGTTCTTAGAGCTAAAACCTAAAGATGAAGTGACTTTGCTGTCACCTGGTGTCTTATTTTGGTTTATTTTAGAATGCTCCAAATTACAGTTTTCCCCATTCATTTCTATGGGTGCCCAATTTTGACCCAAATACAAGATTAAGGAATTTTTTTTTCACCCACTTAACATTGTAGAATTGATTAAAAAAAACCTGTGTGTGTTCAGGAGGCAAACTTAGGAAAAGAAGCCAAGTCTTGTACCGCTCAGATCAAGGGATACAGTTTTAGGGTTAAAAAACATCCCTGTTATATTCAATGTCTTTGAATGTGACTGGGTGAAAAGTCAAGGGGAGAAAATGATAATTACGCTAAGCTAATAGGCTATCTTTATTTACATTCTCGTGCCCGGTTCCAAGAACAGAGTGATTAAATCATGCAACAAAGTTTATTCATCCTGTTAATCACATCAGGCAGAACACACAGACGGCATTGTTTCCAGAGGAAGTCCAAGCGACTTTCTGAGAAAGAAAAATAAGTTAGTAGTTTAGTAAAAGAGCTTAGATAATGCTCAAAATGGTTCAAGTCTCAAAGTCAAAGCTTTATTTGTCAAATGTGCAATAAGCAGCGGTACGTATTGACGACGAAAAGTGTTTTTGTGTCACTATTGAAAAAAATACATAGAGAGAGATTAAGTAGGTCTATATGTAAAGGAACGGATATTCAGAGTCGGACCAAATGTGCCTCATGACACAAAATAAAAAAGAATATCTACATAATCAAAAGTCCTATTTAAGGGTCAGATCACACACACTAAAAAATGCTGGGTTGTTTTAACCCAATTTTGGGTAAAATATCGACAAACCCAGCCATTGGGTTCCATTTTTCAATTACATTTTTAACCCAATCGCTGGGTTTTTCCATACAGTATTTTACCCCAAATTGGGTTAAAACAACCCAGCATTTTTTTTAGACTGCAGGAAATAACTCCATAAAGGACCAACTGTCCATTTCTGTGTCACTTCAGAAGTAATTGATAGGCACTACATTTGTATGTGAATGATCAAAACTCAAAGAGCCTGAAGCAATCTGTCATGTTTCCCCCATCCCATCCGAAGGTACCCTTTGAACCCTGTGGTGAGGGGGCGAGGGGTTGAGGTTCAGCTCCAGACACCTGCCCCCTCCCTCGTGAGCCCTATAAAAGACATATCTCTGGCCTTGCTTCTTCAGTCTAGTCCCAGACCAGGTACATCAACAGGTAAGCAGCCCGACCTCGCACACTACAGAGCAACTCAGGATAGCAAACAGCTGGACCGCACGGACTTTTAGCAAAACAACCAACCTGTACTGAATTATACTTTTAACGTAGAACTGTTGTTGAGAGAACATTGACAGAACATGTTAAAAAGTACCAAAAGTAATTTTTTCGTTTGAAGACTAATGATTATTGTTGAGACATGATACTGTACATTATTGTAGACATGTAACCTGGCCTCCTTTCTGCTCCTCAGCTGCTTGAAAGTAACAATAGGTTTGACTGAAGTCTGCTAAATTTTCCAATGTGTCCAAGTTAATCCAAGGATTTCAGCTTATATAGTGGTTGAGAGCTAATCTGGTTGTGAAGCCTTTGTAACTCTGTCTAATCTGGGATAAATTAGAGTCTAGTCTAATCGGCTGACATATGTTGTAGTCCAAGCGCCTGAGTACGTCGCATGCTCTGCAATGGTTGTAGGATCAATCTCCAACAATCACAGTACTAAAAGGTTTAATAACATTATGCTGAATCGCGTCCACTCTCCCTTTGGTGAAAAATCTCAAACCTATCCATTCATTGTGAGCCGCTTCAACTGTATTTACCATATCTATGTTTGTTTTTGACCCAGATCCATGATGAGGTTCGTTGCCCTCGCCCTCACTGTTTTGCTGGCAGGTAAATAAACCCATTGCTTCTCTTGAAAAATAATTTTCTTAATCAGCATTTTTTTTTTCAGTTTAAAATTTAAGCCAAGATACATTTTGTTTCATGAGATTCTAAGGCTTGTTTTTATATATAGCAAGCCTAAGAGGTTTTTACTGGTTTACTTAAGAAATTAACTTTAAAAAGTCTTAAAATCCCACACAAATCAAAGCACTTTGCTCCAAACTCAAGCGTATGATCTGATATTCCCTTTGTCCAGGTTGCCAGGCCCGTTTCTTGGCGGACGAAGCACCATCACAGCTGGATCATTTGAAGACTGGCCTCCAGGTTTATGCAGATCAGCTGAAGCAGTCCGCACACAAGGCCCTCGTACACCTCGATGGCACAGAGTTCAAAGACTACAAGTAAGAGCAAAACAACTCTTCATTTCCTCAAGAGCAGGGGTAGGCAAAAAAGCAAGAGGACTCCAAGGCACTCTAAGCAGAAAAGTTAAAAAGCCTTTATTACTTTGGCTTGGTCAAATCAACCATCTAAAAAACTCCAACGTGTTTCGGCTTCATGCCTTCTTCTGGGAGTTAAAAAGGGGTAGGCAAGTTCGGCCCTAGAGAGCCGCTAGTTCCAACCCCAATCAAACACACCTGAACAAGCTAATCAATGTCTTCAGGATTACTAAGGCTATAGGTTTTTTTTCAGTGTTGGAGCCAAACTCGGCAGGATAGCGGCCCTCTAGGACCGAACTAGCTCTAGAGCAACATTTGCAGAGTAGCATCTTTAAGTCAAACTAAAACAACCAATTGAACTTCTTCATTAAGAATATTTCAAAACTAGTTTCAAACAGCATACATAATCCTGTCATGAGCGATGCCATTGATTGTACCAATGTTGCAATGTCCAGCCACATTTTCACGAACATCATCAGTTTTTCCAGTGGCAACCAACCTAAATCCTCTTTCTGTTTAGGGAGTTCCTGGGCCAGTCTGTGGATAACCTCCATAGCTACTTTCACCAGATCTTTCAAATAATCACCCCAGTCGGTTCTCAATTGCTGGAAGTCGCTGGTCCCGCCCAAGTGAGGTTGACCAAGGACATGGAGGACCTCCGCAAGCAGCTCGCGCCCAAGCGTGAGGAGCTCAGGGCGGTTCTGGAGAAGCACTTCGAGGACTACAGAGACATCCTGAAGCCCTTCCTCGACGACTACATGGTCAAGCAGCGCGAGCACATGGAGGAAGTCAGAACCAAGCTGGAGCCAGTGATCCAGAGCTTGACAGAGAAGATCCCACCCAACTGGGAGGAGACCAAGACCAAGCTGATGCCCATTATCGAGATTGTGCGGGAAAAGCTGACGGAGCAGCTGCAGGATGTGAAAACCCATCTGGAGCCCTACGTCCAGGAATATAAGGATCAGATGGAGAAGAGAGCCCTTGAGTTCCGCGAGAGCGTGCGATCCGGAGAACTGAGGAAAAGGATGACCGACTTGGGCGCGGAGGTGAAGCCTCACTTCGAGGGTATTTTTGCAGCTCTCCAGAAGTCTCTTAGCAAGGAGTAAACCAACTGTTTTTCCACGGCCCATCCTCCCTTCTTCCTCGCCAAGTACCGACACCTCGACCCATGATCTGGAAGGCTTTTCTCACAGCGTAACCAAGAATACACTACAATACACGAATACACACATATGCACTTTTGACACATTTCTCACAACTACATTCTCTCTAATGGGAAAACACAGATATGAATAAAAGAACACTGAAACCTGTTCATTCAAAACTGCCTAGCAAAAATCCTTTGTTAAGCTGCTTTTTGTCAAAAACTGATTTTCAATGTTCAATGAAATAAAAAAATTAAAAAAAAATATTTCATACCATTTCTTCAATGTCTAAATGTGGTTTATTTGGATGTTTTGTTGAAACTATATGGAAACAACATAATTACTATATGATTATACGTAACAAAATAAAGAACAAAAAAGATTAGCAATTACAATGTTGTTGGTATTGAAACACTGCTTAACTGCACAACAATGGCCTTTAAAATACACACCTTTCTACGTTTTAGATCTGATTAATGAGTTGATTACAAAAATGTGTCACTTGTGATCAATATATCCTGGTTTAGTGATCTGTTACTTATTAGTGATAGGGCAAGATGGATGTGGTGGCCATATTAATGTCCCCGGGTGAGACTATGTCAACACCAAACCATGATTTTTTGGGGGGGAAAGAACCATAATACAATGCCTATTTAGGCGACAAGTTAAAACTTGATATAAAGCATTCTCCTGTGTCTAGATTTGCATTAAAATCCCAGAATATGGTCCAAAATGTTTGGGAAAACTGGTCATAAAGTTGATAGAACTGAGATATTACAGAAATCTCGTTATCAGTTCTTCTTTCCTACATTCGGCAACACTATTACTTCATAAAAAGAGCATATTGCAGAAACGCTCCATAAATGTGCATGGACGTTATTAACAGATCTGTCTTCGCTGCTTGACAGGACTGCACATGGAGAGTCCCTAAGTGAGTAATCTTAGATCATAGGTCATTACTGTGATCTTGCAGTAAAGGTCCATCAGAGCAATGGTGGGAAGGGTCCAATTAGCTGTTTGTTGAGTGTTGGAGGTGTGACACCGAAGCGTCGATCAATTGCTGCCACGACCAACAGATTCTTTTGTTCACAGTCAATAATGTTGGGTGATGTATTTGTAATTAACAAATACTTGAGTGTAATCCAGAGTAAGTTTGTGGGCATTGTGGGTCATGGGTTGTGAGTGAGTGATATGGATGAGGTGCTGAAACACTGCATATTAGATCTCTCAGGATATATAAAGCCACGATCATAAGGCACAGATGCATTCAGACCGAGACCGTGTATGCAACTGGATGTTGGACCAGGTTTCCGAGTACAGCAGTAATGATGAACGGTAATATTCATATTTTACTTTATTTGTACTTTGTGAAATAAAAATAGTATTTTTCATCTTGTTTTTAAAGTAAAATATCTTAGAATCATTGAAATTGAGAAAAAAATTTAAAATATGTCATTTCATTTTATGCCTAAATCTAAATTGTCACTTCAAGTGTCTTGGTCTCATGTTTGGTTTGGTTCACGTTTATGTTTTCATGTCTTTTATTATGTAGGTTTCATAGTCATGGTTCAAGTCGTGTGCTTGCCTAGTGTCATTCCTAGTGCCTTGACTTTGTGTCACGTTCTCATTGGTTCATTGTTCATTGTTTTCAGGTGTCTTGTTAAAAAAAAAACTTTTGCTGATAATTTACTCACCCCCATGTCATCCAAGATGTCCATGTCTTTCTTTCTTCAGTTGAAAAGAAATGAAGGTTTTTGATGAAAACATTCCAGGATTTTCTCCATATAATGGACTTCAATGGGAACCAAACGGTTCAAGGTCCAAAAGACAGTTTCACTGCAAACTGTTCAAAGGCTTTAAAGGGATAGTTCACTTTGAAATTAATTTTTGATATGTTTTATCTTACCCCAAGGGCATCCAAGATGTAGGTGTCTTTGTTTCCACAGTATTTTCAATTTTGACATTTTTCGGTCAAACCGTTGTTGTCTGTCAGTCATATAATGCAGGTTAAGGGGGTCCACCTCGAAGAGCATGCACAGAGAAGTCAAAATTAAACATGATTTAATGACTCGTGAATGTAAGTACACACTGATGGCCTAAGATATGAAACAAGCGGTTTGTGTGAGAAAACGAACAGTATATAGTTTTTACCTCTTGTTAACAACCGTCGAACTGATCTGAATCAGATGTCCAACTGAACCAAACTGAACCGTCTCCAGACGTTACACCGGAAGTGATCTCTCACGCGTCTACGTCACGCAATGTTTACATGGAGATTTCGGAAGTTTTACCTTTCACTAAACATATTTAGATATATGGGAAATCGCAATGGAAGACAATTTCCATATATATCTAAATATGTTTAGAAATTGAAAATCTACCTACCTCTTGGATGCCCTTGAGGTAAGCTAAAACATATCAAAAATTAATTTCAAAGTGAACTATCCCTTTAAACAATTCCAGATGATGAATAAGGGTCTTATCAAGAGAAACGATCGCTCATTTTTAAAAAACAAAAAAGCAAAGTTTAAGTTTTATAAGCTCAAATGCTCGCCTTGCTCTCTTCTGTGATGCGCGTTCGTGACTCTCCTGTTCAAACTCGTTCATCAAAAAGAACAAATCTTTTATTGAGTCATGACTCGAAGGGTCCTAGATAAGACCCTTATTCATCGTTTGGTGTCGTTTAAAGCCCTTTGAACAGTTTGCACTGAAACTGTCTTTTGGACCTTGAACTGTTTGGTTCCCATTGAAGTCCATTATATGGAGAAAATCCTGGAATGTTTTCATCAAAAACCTTAATGTCTTTTCGACTGAAGAAAGAAAGACATGGACATCTTGGATGACATGGGGGTGAGTAAATTATCAGCACAAGTTTTTTTTTTAAAGTGAACTCTTTAAGTCATTAGTATGTAGCCCTCATGTCGCCATTGTTTCTTGTCTAACTTTGTCTTCGTAACCTGCTGCTGATGAGGTCTTTGTTTCTTTATATATTTCTTAAATACGATGTGGTCGTATTTAGTCCATGTTTTATTTGAAAAATTCTGCATATCGGTTCTCAACTTGCCTTCAGTGGACATCCGTTACACTGTCTTTAAGGTGTACCCTTATCTCGTATCTGTAGTCTCGGAGTTGTCACAGGCTGGTTCACTGGTCCTGCCGTGTCCTCCAGACGAAGGGCGGACGTGCAGCAAAGCGCCCGAGGTCGCCGGCATCAGAGTTCAGCTGGAGATGCAGAGCCTGTGGCAGCAGTTTGACCAGCTCACCACCGAAATGATTGTAACAAAAGCCGGAAGGTGTCGTCAAATACTTTACCATTGCTTCTGCTAATTCAACCTCTTTGAAGCATTATGTCCTGTGTAATTCCATTTTTACATTGTCTGAAGATAATGTGAATGGTGATTCTAGTGTATTGTTGGTGTTTTTTGAGATTGCAAAGATGATATGAGTGTGTGCTAGCAGCTAGGCATTTTCCAAAGAGTCCTTTCTTAAAGGAGTAGTCCACTTTTAAAAAAAACTTTTGCTGATAATTTACTCACCCCCATGTCATCCAAGATGTCCATGTCTTTCTTTCCTCAGTCGAAAAGAAATTAAGGTTTTTGATGAAAACATTCCAGGATTTTCTCCATAAACGGTTCAAGGTCCAAAAGACAGTTTCAGTGCAAACTGTTCAAAGGGCTTTAAACGATTCCAGACGATGAATAAGGGTCTTATCAAGCGAAACGATCGCTCATTTAATAAATAAATAACAAAGTTTAAGTTTTATAAGCTCAAATGCTCGCCTTGCTCTGTTCTGTGATGCGTGTTCCTGACTCTCCTGTTCGAACTCGTTCATAAAAATGAACGAATCTTTTTCCGAGTCAATTCGTTCATTAAATTAATCAAATGACTCGAAAAAAGATTTGTTCATTTTTCCTGAACAAGTTTGAACAGGAGAATCACGAACGCGCATCACAGAACAGAGCAAGACGAGCATTTGAACTTAAAAAAACCTTAATTTTCTTTTCGACTGAAGAAAGAAAGACATGGACACCTTGGATGACATGGGGGTGAGTAAATTATCAGCAAAAGTTTTTTTAAGTGAACTACTCCTCTAATGGCATCATAAACGGTAGCAAACTTCAATAGTTATGGGGTTAGAGATTTGAGCAATGGTATTCTGGTTGCATCAGAAAACGCCACTACTATACGTTATTAATATTTCTGAATGTCATATCTGTGGAGACTGATGTTGTTTGTCTTCATACAGAAGGATGTTTCCTACATTTCAAGTACACATTTCAGGGATGGACCCAGCAGCAGAATATGTTCTTCTAATGGACTTTATTCCAGTTGATGACAAAAGATACAGGTACAGTATCTCAACGGAAAAGGCTTAACAATTCTGATAAATTTAGGATAATGTTCAGGCTAGTTTGAAGAGACTCCAAAAGACGCTGTTTGCATAATTCTGATTTATTTGGGCTTTTAGATACTCTAAAAACAACCTGATTTAATGTTGTTCCATGTCCAGAAGTTTACTGTAACAGGACACTGCAAACAATTTAAAGTTGGGTGTTGTCGAGCTCTTCCGTTTCACTGAGGGGCTCAGGGACAATTGTCTTATGCCCTGAATTAATTATCCTGTATTTTCTCATCAATATGGGGATTTAACATGATGTTGTGCACTCTATAAAATCAACAGAATTCAAATTGTATCGTAGTTAAGAATTAAAAGTAACATATTTTAAGTGTCCTGCAGGATGCCAAACCCTGGTCTTCGGTTTGTTGGTTCAGTTTTGATTTGAGAGCGGGCATATTTTGGACGTTCTTGATGTTCCTGTGTGCAGGTATGCTTTCCACAGCTCCTCCTGGTTGGTAGCGGGACGTGGAGATATCGCTGCCCCGGGACGAGTGCACTTCCATCCAGACTCACCCGCACGGGGATCCCAGTGGATCAAACAGACGGTCTCATTCGACCGCCTCAAACTCACCAACAACCTGCTGGACGATAACGGCCACGTAAGACACTCGCACACACACGCAAACGTACATGCCTGTCTGGATCCTGCATAGGTTCAACCTCTTGTGCGTGTGTCTTAGATGATCCTGAACTCCATGCACCGCTACCAGCCGCGACTGCACGTGGTTCTGGTGGACCGAAGCAGAAACAGTCAGCGCTTCGCTCACCGCAACTTCTGCACTTTCAGTTTCCCAGAAACTCGCTTCATCGCAGTCACCGCCTACCAGAACCACAGGGTACCCAACATCCACACACAGCCCATAAGTCTAGGACCAACAGAATTCAATTGACCTATGGCTAAGCCACGCCCTCAAACGCGATGAGCCAATCACAGTGCGCAGCTAACCCAATATACTCAGACATTCTCTGCTTTCACGTCCATTGAAATGCATTGCAGTTAGTCAGTTTTTATTCGTTTTTTCTTGTTATTTTAAGTTTAAAATGGTCAAACGGGGCACATGCAACTCCGACGCTAGGTTCCTGAGAGGCTGGGCGGCGGTGTGTATGTTTTTTACCCTTTCCCAAGCCAAATCTCAACCGAGATAAGTGTCTGCTCTGGATTAAGTTATGCGGTAGACCACAACACCAACTAAACGTGGATAAATTAAACAAGGATGTCTACATCTGTTCGAAGTTAAGTCAATAACGTATTTGAACGTAACGTTAGGCTAACATTAGAAAACGTTAACGTTAGCTTCTAGCTGCGTTGTACATCATGTCACTTAGCTTCATTAACGTATCTGTAAATAACCGAGATAACAAATGTTAACAATGTTGTGCTGAATGATTCATGTAAATTCTGTAGCACTAAACGATGATGGCAACGATATGCGGTTTATCACGTTTACACTGTGACCTGTACATTTTTGCCCGGAGCTTTTCATCGACCTTCTCAACAATACAATTATTAATATAACCCTCCAATGCATAGTTAAGGCCATTTAGGTGACTTGGTGAAGATGATATATAATCTTTCCGTCTCCAAAAATCACCAATTGCCTTTAGCGCCTGTCCCCGAATGTTGACTGTGTGTCCGAGTGAGTGAAGGGGAGGGGGCGTGGCTTAGCCATATGTCAATTAGTATTTAACTAGCAAATGTTAGTAGTCTAGGCCATCAAATTCTAATAATTTTTGGTAATATTTTGTTTCGATATTCTGTTGACTAATCTTGAACCAACTCTTATTATAAAACGGATAATTCCGGTCCTTGATTTTGATTGGTTCAAAAGCCGTTGTAAATGACTGCATTACATTAGTGTTTTACACACACACACACACCTGTGACTGCATTACATTAGTGTTACTGAGCAACTGCTGTTTGTGATTCTTTGTTGCTCTTTGGAACTGCATTTGTAGGCGGAGCAATACATGTTATGATGTTATATTTTTTGTTGCTGGTAGTTGTTTTATGAATAAAATAAATGTTAAAATGATTTTTTTTTTGAGTAACCATTTTATAAAAGCAGTAAGCTCTGCGAAGCCGTGTTTTACAGTAGTTTTAGGCACTCGGCTCCGCGTCTACGTCCCTTACCTGTTCTAAGTTCACTGTAAAACAAGGCTTCTCAGGGCGTATTGCTTTATATGAGTATTAGACTGTCTGCTTAATATCTGCTAACTCTTTATTGTGACGCTCCTCAACAGACATCTACTGACTACAAGTGACCCGGCAAACACATGTCAAATTATTATACTAACCCAAATGCTAAATCCTAACCCTAACCAATAGTCCACTGCTCTAATGAGAGTTAGTTTACATGTAGTTGCAAAGCTCATATAGTTAGTAGAGGAGGGCCACCAATGTAACCTTAATTTGAAACTTTCCCTTCATGTCACTGCTTAGGATGGGTTGCTAGCTCTTTGGCTTGACAGCACATCAATTCACTGGATTTTGCAATATTTGCATAATAAATGAGTTTAATTCGATATACAATTCAATTCCATCTGTTTAACAATGAACTTTGTAAAATCCATGTACAGGACACTTTACATGTGCTCATGGATCTTAGGCATGAAAATGAAGAAAGATTTAGTATGAAAAATGGAGCGGTTTTATTAAGAGATCATTTTGTGACAAGTAGGACACACACTACCCATTCACTTCAGTCGTGACTAAACAACACAAATCTAATCATGTTTTCAGTTGTCTTTGTTGGTTCTCGTTTGCATTAAGTGTGGTTTGCATTTCTCCTGTGTGTTCACTTTGTAAATAAAGACTATATTTTGGAAAACCCATTTCATTTTTGTGCATGTTGGCTACCACACATGTAACAGTTTAGGGTTTATAATTTGAAAACCGTTGTTAATATTATTCTATTTATATTTTTGATGGGTAGACATTTTGAAGAAAAATGGAACGGTTCATTTTTTTTTTACCAAGACCTGTATGATAAGTTCAGCATAAAGTATTTGCAGTGAGTCTATATGATGCTGATGTCTCTCCTGTCACAGATTACTCAGCTGAAGATCGCTTGCAACCCCTTCGCGAAAGGCTTTCGAGCAGCAGATTCGGAAAACAGGTAAATGTTAATGCTGTGTAACATCAGACCAGAGATTTTTATGGTTCGTCTCACTTTCTGTGACTGTTTTACGATCTCCAGCTGTTGCCAAGCCGAACCTCCTCGACTGTCTTTGCCCTGGAGCCGGTTCGAGGGAGCATCAGTGAGCGGAGCTCGTGAAGACCCGAGACCAGCACACCAACCTCAGGCACCGCGTGAGTACACTTACTGCTTTATCTGAAGGATTTATTACAAACATTTGTGGAAAATGTATGACTCTTCTTGCTACTGCCAATGCTAATTTCATAGTTTCTGTAGACAATATTATAAGGAACTCAGCTTTTTGGAATATTAATAATCAATAATAACTAGTTATTATTAATTATTAATATTTGGGTCAGTTAATTAGATTAACTCGATGTGGCTGAATGAATATTACAATCAATCGATCAGTTCGTCTAATGAACTCTTTCGATTATTAATTTGGATTACACAATGTGTATCTGATGTGAATAAAACGTGTATAAATAATAAAACAACAACTGTATAACTAACTGTATTAACAACTGTGAATAAAACAACTGTATTATTGGAAATAAATTGGAGTTTAATTGGAAAATAAATTTGCACAAGTGACCTTTATTTTAATTTTGGTATTTTTTAAAATCTTGTTTGTAGTAAACCTCTGCTTCTCTCATTGCAGTTCGTTCAAATCCTCATGATCCAACCCTGCAGACAGCGATGGATGAAGCGACACTGTCGTATAGTGAAGGGATGGACTGCAGTACAGACAGGAGGGATGGAGGTTCACATGCTCATTTCTACAGCACTCCTGTGTTCTTCACATTACCCTACCAGTGGGACGGCCCGGCCAGAGCAGACAGAAGTCTGATGGGCTAACAAGACCATTGTGCAGATGAACGTCATTCATTTGAAAGATAGATAGATAGATAGATAGATAGATAGATAGATAGATAGATAGATAGATAGATAGATAGATAGATAGATAGATAGATAGATAGATAGATAGATAGATAGATAGATAGATAGATAGATAGCTTAATGAATAAACTTCGAGCCCCATAATGCATCATTTTCAGCGCTTGCCTTGACATTAGTGTGTGTGGAGTCTGCTCAGTGCACTTGTGTAAGGGATGTCTGATTCATTTCTGCGAATCGGTTCGTTCGGGCAGTTTGCTCCAATGAACCGGTTCAATTAAACGATTCACAGTATTAAACCTCGGGATATTTAGCTATATCATTGTAGCTTGTTTTTCTTAAGAGAAATGTTGCGTGAAATGCGCGTTGTTTTGGGTCCACCTAAGATTTATTTTATTTGACTTCAGTCGTACGCTTCGCGAATCGCTCTGACTGAATCATTCAATAGAATTGATTCATCCTAATGACCAAGTCAGGCTTCGGTTAGGCTCCAGTGCGTGCGGATGCAGGGAAGATGGAGGAAGAGGCAGGAGCGGTCTGAGGACATATAGATGCGGATTATTGCGCTGTCAAATTATCAAAGGGCAAAAGACAGCTTTAATGGACACGACGTCGAGCGCATTTCAATGGCAGACATTCAACAACCGAACTCTAAACGAGCGATGCCCACCTGCATTTATCTAAATAGAACGCCTTTATTTTAACAGTTCGTCTCTTAAAGAGCATGCGGAAAAGGTTTTGCAATAGACATCATCTTCGGAATCTCCATATAAAAAAATCTTATAAGAAAGATTAATGTGGATAACGGGAATGTTTGCCGTTGTTTGTATGCGGAGGATGGAGAAAACGAAGGATAATAAACATGAGCCCGAATGTCCTTTAGTGCTCGCTGGGATTTGGAATTTGCGCATTCTGCTGTCGGCATTCTGTGCGTTATGACGCCATAATAGAACTTCGGGATCCGCCGTTCGACGCGTTCTAAAGTAACGTTAAACAAAGGGATTTTCTAGCGTGTAGAGATGAGGGTGCCGCGAGTGCTTCTGTGTTCATGGGCACTGATGACCCTTCTCCCGGGCAGCACCTCCGCTGGCAGCTCGGACTCACTGTTGCTCCGTGTCCCTCTGCAGCAGGGGCCCCTGTCACAGCCCGCGCCCCCCCGGGGCCCCCCGAGAGTCGCCCGGACACGCAGAGGAGTCCGTGGGATGAGTTTTGTAAACATGATTGACAACCTTCGTGGAAAGTCAGGACAAGGTTATTACATCGAAATGGCCGTGGGCACCGCACCTCAGAAGGTGAGACTGAATCCAGATACACGGGCTCTCTCACCGCATATTCATACTGTTTGTGATGTATTGACATGAGAAAAGAAGGCCAATCAAAATTTTGAATTTCATAATCCTGTCCAAGACAACATAATCACATTGCGTTTAATTTTATTTATCAAGGCTAAAATGGGCTCGAAGTTGTCTTTCAGCATGGCTGTCACAATAATGTGCAGAAACTTGTCCAAATAAACAATAATATAATTTACATTTTGGCAGTATCTAACTTGGAACCCGTTTTCGAAAATGGTTACATATTTACTATTACTTTAAATACAAATAAAAATGTGATTTAAAGAGATATACAGTTATTCCTGCAGTTAAATAATACTGTGTTAAACTGGTTTCAGTCTATATTTCATATGCGTACATGTCACCTTCTAGTTATTGGTGTTTACTGGTGTTTTTTTTTTATTTATTTTAATAGTCCACATTACTGTATTCCATTCCAAGCAGATCTTTGTGCTTTATGGAAATATTTGATTCATTTATGGAGATTCATATCTCTTTATGGAGATATTTGAAATATTTATTCATTAGAAGACCAAACGCTGACTGTGGGATTAAAAAAAACACAATCTGTTTTGTGAAGTGTATGGGTTATCCACCACCACAGCTGTGGCTGAAACGGGGATGAGTGTATGACACTGCTCAGTTTTCACAGCCCCAGTCCGATAACGACTCAACCCTGTGTTCTGCTGCCAGGCCAGTAGTTGGCAATGTCCCTTTGTAAAGAAACACTGCGCGCCTATAGGCTGAACATGTAATACACCTGGGAATGGAGGGGATGCATCTGAAATTGCATAGCTACTCTCTTGAGCAGGTACTTACTGTATATTGCATAAGTAATTACTTCACAGCTGCACATAAAAGTATGTTCTATGTAGTATGAATGTAATCTGGGACGTTCTCCCGTGGCCTCATGGGATTGTAAAGTGTCCATCGTGTACACACATCAGAATTTCACCGCAAGAAGCTCATCCGGGTACTTTTTGTCTATACTCTTTAATAAGTACTGGGAATTAATCAAATTAATTCCTTAAAAGTTAACATTAGTAAAACTTACAACAACAACAAACAAACAAAAACATACATTTAAGTCACCATTATGGTGATCAGTGTTTGTTTTAGGATTGTTTTAAAATGACGTTTTTCTCCTTCAGTGATTCTGCTTGGTAACATCAGGTGTCTTCAATGTTGGCAATAAAATATAAATAGTTCTTAATTAATCTTTGACGTCTGTCTGTTAGTGAGATATTTTTGTTAAATTTTTGGGTGTAAACTTTACTCATTTTAAATGGTTAACTTTTAAGGAATTCATTTAATTTGATTAATTATTACTCAATTCTAATTTTCTAAATTTAATTAATAATATTGCTTGTGATCTGTTGCCACAATTTTATTGATTAGATAAAGTGTATTAATTTTTACAGTGTACCGTTTTTCCACCTACTGTATAGTTGGGAAGTATGTGATTTCAGAGCCATGATGTCACTTTTTTTCATAAATGAGACTACAGATCCACGATTCTGGATAAATTGAGAATCCCGATTCTCCCACAGACAGATAACTACACAAAATAACGTGTAATTTACTAGCGTTTATTGCTGCAGTCTATTTAAAATGTTCAACAAATCTGAATTAATTATTTAAAAAGATTGGTTTGAATAAATTACTCAATGACTTGCTCATGAAGACATCACTTGTTACATTACTGGATGATTTAGTAGTTTTTAAAAAAAAAAAAACAAATCTCTTGATTCAATGATAAATCCATTGTATTAGCAGTCACACCTGTAACAATCATTATTTGAAGCACAATGTTACTTTTAAAGGTAATTTACTCGATTTTGATCACTTCTGTAGACATCAATGTGTATATCTGAATTTGAAATATCTGAACTTTTATCTGAGTTCTTCTGTATTAATATGAATATTTGTAACACACATTGATACTGTGTAGTTTTATACCTATAGCCTACATCCCGACGGTTCTTGGATCAGTGGCAGTGCAAAGACAGGTTTGAATATTCTGGTGTGATTTTGTCAAAGTTTTAATAGACACAGAATAATTGTAAGATTGCGTGGGTTTTTGGATCGAGATCGCGACCTTTTAACGATTAATGGAGACGGTAGCGGTATCGTTTTCAAAAACGTGCGCTTTGCGCCATGTTTACACAACGCCATTTTCAACAAAGCGGAAAACTCTTTGTGTGTTTTGGCCTTCAATTTACATGACAAATGTGTTGAAAACGGGATTCAAAGGTCAAGTTTTTAAAAATGATACCGTTATCTTGTTACCGTTATTTTGTAAACTACAAAAATGTGAATTTGTAAAAACGGTGACGTCATACTCATGTGAATTAGAGCACAGTATTTCTTTACAAAGTGCCATCGCCATCTACTGGCCTGCAGCAGAATACAGCGTTTTAGACGTTTTCGCGGATCCGTGTGAATGGGGATTGTTTTGACAAAGTTGTCATTTGTATGCAAAAAATGCATATGGAAAACTTTTCTGTTTTTAGTACATTGTTTTTGTGTAAACGTGCGCTGAAACGCAGTTTAGTTTAGTTTTCAGGCCGCTGTTGTTGAAAAACGCTGTTGTTGTGTAAATCAATGGCAAAAACGTATGAAAAAAAAGTTTGTGGCGCTAAGCACTTTTCCACGTCAAAGACTGTCCTTATGCAGACTGATCTCATGAAGTAGCGTGTGTATGACACGCCAATTCGTATTTCCATTTTTGGCGTGCTATCAAGACGCGTAATCGCTTTTCAGCGTGTTTATGACGCCGTTGACTTAAAGGAAAACTCCACCGTTTTTTGAAATATGGCTTATTCACATTCTTTCCTACATTTAGATATGTGTGCAGATTCATTTTTGTCTCAGTGCATGCATTGTTTTAGTTTGACAGGGTCGGCGCTAGCTTAGCTTAGCACAATGAATGGATTCCCTTGTTGCCAGCTAGCATGTCCTGAGTAAAAGTGGTTAAAAAAAATAAACAAACCCACGTAATTACTTCTTGTGGCCTGCGTATTCACAACGAGTACAAATAGCGACGCAGATTAACACTTGGCGATTTGTCATACACACACTTTGGTCATACACACCCTTAAAATGACACGGAAGGAAATGAATTAGTGTTTTTGCACACCAAACATCTTCAACGGTCCATTGCCATAATATCATGACTGGTCAACAAGGTCACATAATGAATGAGGAAGAGGAAGCGCAGAGACGAGGTGAAGGCAGGCCTTCGAGAGGAAGGATGCGCACGAGCCAGACTCAGTGAGCAGAATAACAGGAAGCCCACAGGACAAATCAATGACATGAGGAGTCAGCTCAATTCTTACTACACACGAGAAACGCTGGAGAGCTGCGGAGAGGAATGGGCAGATGTGGTAAGAAGGTCAAGTGCGCATCAACCACTGTTGAACGGTTCTCTAATAGCGATGGAGAGATGGAACAATTCAGTAAAGTTTGGCCTACATTTGTGCATGTATGATATTTTTACAACAAAGCAGTATTATGTATAGAAGTGGTCTGTCAATATGATTATCAATCACCCTACTCTCAGCATCAGCAATTGAAAAACAGCTAAAACTGCTAAAATACAGTCTGCTAAAACATGCTAGAGAAGTCCGGCTCCCCATCCTGTCTGACTCTCTCCGCCTCGCTCTCCCTCAGTGCGTATCACGTTTCGCTCAGTCAGTGAGTCTAACACTGAGAGGCAGTCAGTCGCTGGTGAACGAGGAAGATCGATAATATATCTCATTCTTAAATACCCCTTCACAAACACACACAAGGTCAGAGACATTTCTTGACAACAGAGCAATAGTCACAGTCAGACCTGAGCCACATCTATGAGATTATAGGGGCCTTGTGTATAAAAGGTGTGTGTGCACAGATTTTAACAGTGTGTGTGTACGCTAAAATCCACGCCAACGTTCATTTTCAGTATGTGACGTGGAAAAGTGCTTTGTGCCACTTCCTTGCGATCTGATGGGGATTCTGATAACCGGCAGAAATATATTTATATGCTATGCTAATGGCTACTTGCTAACCGTTGCGATAATACAAATGTTTATGGAAAATACCAGAGAAGAACGTAGACAAATCATGTGTATTTATATGGTTTCATGTTTTATCTATCGCCTCCCTCCTCTGCCTTTGTTGATACCGGACTAATGCCGAAGTGATGACGTCACTTTGTTGGACAACTCGGAAGCTAGCGGCGCATGGGTTCCCTCGGTCAAAAAGCTATGCATTTTCCCCATTGACTATTGGAAAATCGCAAAAAATAAGATCTGTGTTTAACAAAGAGTTGTGACCCTTACACGTTTTGTCTATCAAGATAATCTTTACAAGTTAATCCAAAATTTATACATTTTGAAGCCCATATAAAGATTTTAAAAAACACAATCAGACACAATAAAGTTTAAAAAACCACAAGCATGTTATAACTGTGTGTTATATGTCATAGATCAAAACGTGTAAATATTTAGAGACTTTGTTCACCACAGACCTTATTTCAGGCGATTTAGCAAAAAACCATTCAAAAATCCCATAGGCTTTAGAGCGAGGGAACCGTAGTGCTAAAATGCTAACTCACTTCCGCGTTTTGGCCTACAGAGTGACGTCGTAACTTCGACACTCTATGCATCCACATATTTGTCATAAAAAACATGCCATCCGATTAACTCATGTAACTCATGAGCTCCCTCTGCTGCTCTGGATGAAAGGACAGTATAGTGAGACGGGAGAGGTCGCTCAAACCAAATCACAATCATCACACAGTTTCGCTGGACATGTATAGAAATGCGACATAAACATGACGTTTTATCAATATGTTTCTAAATCGATGAGCATTTGTACTTAAAAGCCTTAATGGAGTAGTTCACTTTTAGAAAAACTTGTGCTGATAATTTACTCACCCCCATGTCATCCAAGATGTCCATGTCTTTCTTTCTTCAGTCGAAAAGAAATTAAGGTTTTTGATGAAAACATTCCAGGATTTTCTCCATATAATGGACTTCAATGGGAACCAAACGGTTCAAGGTCCAAAAGACAGTTTCACTGCAAACTTGAAACAGTAGAGCATTGCACTTGCAATGCCTAGGTCATGGTTTTGAGTCCCAGTGAAAGCAAGAACTGAGAATTAATATGAATTTTAATTGTTATGAGCTGCGCCCTCTACTGTTCAAGTGTGAGTTTACGTTTCCATTCAGCATTTACTGTAAAACAGCATTTACTTTACATGTTTTTGGCTATACTTTATTGTAAGGTGTCTGTTACACTGTACTAAAATGTATAAATGTATAAGTGTAGAGTATTTTAAGTAACTACATGTACTGACTTCTGGGTTAGGATTTGGTTTGTGGTTAGTTGAATGTAATTATGCATAATTCATAGTTGTAACATGCAACAATGGCTTTGTAAAATAAACTGTTACCCTTTTTTAAATGAAAAAACAAGCAAGTCCAGCTCAGGTGAGAAAAAATAATGCAAAAGTATGAAAAAGTTTGAGTATATTAGGGCTGTGAAACGATTAATCGCGATTAATCGTGTGTAGTGTGTAGTTATTTTATATAAATACTCACACATGCATGTATACATTTAAGAAATATTTGCATGTATATACTTTATTTATATTTATACAAAATTAATATTATACATAAATATAAATATTTTATATATTAATAACACATTTTTCTTAAATATATACATGCATATGTGTGTATTTATATATACAAAATAATTATACACACTACACACACACATAAATTATCTATTTTGGATGCGATTAATCGCGATTATTCATTTCACAGCCCTAGAGTGTATATTCCAATGCATTACTTAAATAAGTAACACTGATGCGCACCACTTACTGCACGTTTTTCTTCAGTTATTAGTTTTATTTAATCACAGATTAAATCCGTTTGTGTTTCAGTTGAACATCTTGGTTGATACGGGCAGCAGTAATTTTGCAGTCGGCGCCGCCGCTCACCCGTTCCTCCACAGATATTACCATCGGTCTCTGTGAGTATCGTGATAACTGATCACACACACAAATGTGTCATGTCGTGTCACAAAGGCTTATGAACTTTGCAACACTTTCCTGTCTGTGTTGATAGTTCGTCCTCGTACAGAGATCTGGGCCGCGGTGTGTATGTGCCGTACACACAGGGCCGGTGGGAGGGCGAGCTGGGCACTGATCTGGTGTCGATTCCTCACGGCCCAAACGTGTCTCTGAGGGCCAACATCGCTGCAATCACCCAGTCGGATCGCTTCTTCATCAACGGGTCCAACTGGGAGGGAATACTGGGGCTGGCCTACGCTGAGATCGCAAGGGTCGGTTCCTGTGTTGTGGTGACTTCACAATGCGTAATGAAGAGTCTCTTCTAATCGGGTTTTCCGTCTTTCAGCCGGATGAGACTCTAGAGCCGTTCTTCGACTCTCTGTTGAGACAGACCAGCGTCCCGGACGTGTTTTCTCTGCAGCTCTGTGGAGCGGGGTTCACCCAGAACTACAGCGCCGGCAGCTCCACTGTAGGGGGCAGTATGGTGAGCGCTGCTGCCAAGACACTACAGACAAAGAAGAACACCATGCATTGACCTCTCTTTGAAATTCTATCATTTACTCTAAAAGGACAAGAATGAGTCATAGAAATAGTCAAAATGATTTGTGTGTTTTAGTGCAGTCATATGAAATTAGTAAAATCTTTGAAACAAACACTGACCATGTTGTAATAAAAATGTATATGTAAAACAGCATGCAACAGAACAAATACTAAAATAACACTAAACTACTATAAAAATGATTTGTTCATTCACAGATTGTCTTTACTCTTTCCAGATCATTGGGGGAGTAGATCCGTCCTTGTATGTTGGGGAGCTATGGTACACACCAATCAGACGAGAGTGGTATTATGAGGTCATCATTGTGCGCATTGAGGTTAACGGACAGGATCTCAACATGGACTGCAAAGAAGTGAGAACAAATCGTCTGGTTTTTTTTTGTTTGTTTGTTTGTTTTTTGCAATGAAGTACAGAAGTATCTCGTTATTTTGACATTACTCGCTATTGCGACATAGTATCTTGTTATGTCAACGTATTAAGTCGTTATTACGACATATCTTGTTATTTCAACATAATATCTCGTTATTTCGACATAAGTCGTTATTTTGACATAAATATCTTATTTCGACATAATATCTCATTATTTCGACATAAATATATTGTTATTTCGACATAATATCTCGTTATTTCGACATAAATATCTCGTTATTTCGACATAAATATCTCGTTATTACGACATAATATCTTGTTATTTTAACATAATATGTCGTTATTTCGACATAAGTCGTTATTTCCACATAATATCTTGTTATTTCAACATAATATCTCGTTATTTCGACATAAGTCGTTATTTCGACATAAATATCTTATTTCGACATAATATCTCGTTATTTCGACATAAATATCTTGTTATTTCGACATAATATCTCGTTATTTCGACATAAGTCGTTATTTCGACATAAGTCGTTATTTCGACATAATATCTTGTTATTTCAACATAATATTTCGTTATTTCGACATAAATATCTTGTTATTTTGACATAATATCTCATTATTTCGACTTAATAAGTCGTTATTACGACATAATATCTTGTTATTTCAACATAATATCTCATTATTTCGACATAATAAGTTGTTATTTTGACAAATATCTTGTTATTTCGACATAATATCTCGTTATTAGGACATAATAAGTCATTATTTCTACATAAATATCTTGTTATTACGACATAAGTCGTTATTACGACACAATGTCTTGTTATTTTGACATAATAAGGGGCGCATTCTAATATCCATTAAGCTACATTTAGCTTAAAATAACAATGAATGTGCAGCAATTTGTACAAATAGAGACATTTTGTGTATAAAAGACATTTTTGTTTTATTTTGTATTAGTGATTATAATTTGCGCCTCCATTTTTTGACGTCTGAGTCAATCTCATTTGAGTATATAGGCCAATTTGCTTAACATGGAAGCAAACGCGTTGAGTTTATATTCTGAGCTCATCAGATTTTGTTGTAGGCCTACATATACTTTATTAGAATGATTATTTACTGTTTGGTCTGTTAGTAAATTTGTTAAGGTTTGTATTCATTTCGATATGCCACTAGAGGGCAGAATAAGACCGGGAATTAAAGAACATTGTAGATATGTTGACCTACTGTTTTCATAACACTTGATATTCGAGATGTAACGAGATATTTATGGCGAAATAAAGAGATATTATGTTGAAATAACAAGATATTATCTCGTAATAACGACTTATTATGTCGTAATAACAAGATATTATGTCATTATAACAGGATATTATGGCGTTATAACTAGATATTATGTTGTTATAACGACTTATGTCGTAAAAAACGACTTATGCTGTAATAACGAGATATTATGTCGAAATAACGACTTACTATGTCGTAATAACAATATATTATGTCGTTATAACAGGATATTATGGCGTTATAACTAGATATTATGTTGTTATAACGACTTATGTCGTAAAAAACGACTTATGCTGTAATAACGAGATATTAGGTCATAATAACGACTTATGTTATAATAACAAGATATTATGTCGAAATAACGAGATATTAGGTCATAATAACGGCTTATGTTGTAATAACGAGATATTATGTCGAAATAATGAGATGTTGTTATAATGAGATATTATGTCATTATAACGAGATATGTCGTTATAACGACTTAAATAAGTCGAAATAACAAGGTATGTTTTTTTTTCATGCCATTGATATAGGCATATGCATATTTACATATTTAATTGCCCATATTTTATGATATGAAGATATGCCATATCAACACTAAGAATTCAAATTGAATGATTTCACTCAATTAGCCTATATAGCGAAGATACCTGAAATGTGTCTAATTCGTGGATATATTGAATAGTAACCCGATATATGACAATAAGAATTAACACCATGTCACTATGGTCCTTCTTTGCCAATTCTAGTGGCCCATTTTCATTTTTAAGTAAAAATATACTTTATACTCCACAAAAAAACAAAACAATAATGTATCCACAAATCCCTTGTTAACAAATAGACACAAGCAACTTTGATATTCAACATAATGTAATGTCAAAGATCACTGTTTTCCATAGACACACATCTACTGTAAATCAATTAACCTTTCGACTGAATAAATCTGACAAATATTGATATTCAGATGAAATGACAAAATTGAAAATAGTGTAGCCATTTGTCAAATGTGTGGAAATGAGATTGTGTGCTGTCTATGCACAAAAGAAACATTTGTAAAAAATATTCTTTTACTTTATTGTAATTGCATCGAAATTATAACCTATGAAATGTATATTTAACCTATGACTGTTACTAGTGCATTTTAAGCCTATATACTTACTGTAGTTACTGTAAAGAGCTGCACAATTAACAGTGAATACACTGGTGCCAGTATTTTACGGTACAAAAGTCTGGTAAGGTCTTACAGTGTAGGGTAACACTTTATTTTGCAGTGTCCTTTTTACATGTATTTGTTACATGTACATAATTACATGCCACTAACCCTCAACCAAATCCTAATCCTGCCCTAACCCTATAGTAAGTACATGTTACTTAAATGTATAATTACACTGTAACAATGACACCTTAAAAGAAAGTGTAACCAGTTAAAAGCAGATATTCTTATTGTTTCTCTCTGTCTCTCAGTACAACTATGATAAGAGTATTGTGGACAGCGGCACTACAAACCTGCGTCTCCCTCGTAAAGTTTTCCAGGCTGCTGTGAAGGCCATTGAAGCGGCTTCATCGGTCAGTTTATATCACACTCTCTCTTGAACGTGCTAAACGTCTTCAGACTCTCTCACAATCAGATCTTTGTCTCCACAGACTGAACAGTTTCCTTCAGGCTTTTGGCTGGGGGAGCAGCTGGTGTGTTGGCAGGCGGGCACCACACCCTGGCATATCTTCCCTGTCATTTCTCTCTACCTAATGAGTGAAAATAGAAACCAGTCCTTCCGAATCTCCATCCTGCCACAGGTACCATCATTCTGCTTTCTTCATTCTGTGGCTATGACAACATTTTCCTCCCATAGAAACTCATTATAATAGTGCTAAATGTAGTATTAATGCATATTAGAACGCGCCCCTTATTATGTCGTAATAACGATATATGTTTAAATAACGACTTACGTCGTAATAAAAATATTTTATGTAGAAATAATGACTTATTATGTCGTAATAACAAGATGTTATGTCAAAATAAGGAGATATTATGTCGCAATAACGACTTGTCGTAATAATGAGATATTTGTTGAAATAAAGACTTATGTCAAAATAACGAGATATGTCGAAATAACAAGATATTATGGCATAATAACGACTTAATATGTCATAATAACGAGATATTTATGTAGAAATAATGACTTATTATGTCATAATAACGACTTAATGTCATAATAACGAGATATTTATGTAGAAATAATGACTTATTATGTCGTAATAACGACTTAATATGTCATAATAACGAGATAATTATGTAGAAATAATGACTTATTATGTCGTAATAACGACTTATGTCAAATTAACAAGATATTAGGTCAAAATAACAAGATATTATGTTATAATAACGACTTATTATGTCGTAATAACGAGATATTATGTCAAAATAACGAGATATTATGTCGTAAAAACGACTTGTCGTAATAATGAGATATTTATGTTGAAATAACGACTTATGTCAAATTAACGAGATATGTCGAAATAACGAGATATTATGTCATAATAACGACTTAATATGTCGTAATAACGAGATATTTATGTAGAAATAATGACTTATTATGTTGTAATAACGGCTCATGTCAAAATAACGAGATATTAGGTCAAAATAACAAGATATTATGTCAAAATAACGTCTTATTATGTTGTAATAATGAGATATTATGTCAAAATAACGACTTATTATGTCGTAATAACAAGATAGTATGTCAAAATAACGATATTATGTTGTAATAACGACTTGTCGTTATAATGAGATATTTATGTTGAAATAACGACTTATGTCAAAATAACAATATATGAGATATTGTGTCATAATAACGATTTAATATGTCGTAATAACAAGATATTTATGTAGAAATAATGACTTATTATGTTGTAATAACGACTTATGTCAAAATAACGAGATATTAGGTCAAAATAACAAGATATTATGTTATAAAAACGACTTATTATGTTGTAATAATGAGATATTATGTCAAAATAACGACTTATTATGTTGTAATAACGAGATATGTCGAAGTAACAATTTATTAAGTCAAAATAACAAGATAAGTTTTCAGGATGGCATACTGATCGAAGAGGCTGCTAGGTGATAACTGGCCACATAACCCATATATAAAGAGAACGGATAAAGCTAAAATATGGGTCTGAATGATCAAATTGATTATCGGTCAATCCATATTCTGTATTCATGCGCCAACAGTTAATGGGATAGTTCAACCAAAAATTATAATTCTCTCATTATTCACTCACCTCCTTGTGGTTTTTAAACCTGTATGACTGCACACTGTTAACCCTTGCTGTAAAAAAAACAAATTCTGACACTATCATACCATTTTCTATTAAAACAGTAATATAGCGTAGAAAACAAAACTAGCCTACAGGAATATACTGTGACTTAACAGCTCTCAAAGTTCTTTTCCCAATCACAACCAATACCTATTCACTATTCCCTACATTAATTCTCTAATACAGTCCACTTGAATGAAAAGAAGTGAGTCGACGACAGAGAAACAAGAACTGAAAAAAGAGAAACACAAAAACTGACTTCCAGCCACACTGAGTGTGAAACCAGTTTACAAACCAGTTTACAATTATTTCTTTCATACATGTACAAAAGTTCTTGTTGAGAATTAACAGAGATTTAGTTCATAATAAAGTTTGTTGTCACCCTAGTGGAGATCAGTATTTGCTTTAGTAGTTGGTCTCTTGTCCCTGGACGTATTACCATTCATCTCTCTCTAACTGTTGTAACAGTGAATTTAAAAAGCACATTTGTTATGGCAAGAAAAAGTCAGGAGGAAGTTGATCTGGTGTTTTTGGCTTTTGTGATGATGTCACAGTCATCCTGGACATGTCTGATTTTCAGATCTTGTATATATTCTTGAAAATTATAGGTATTTCATATTTACCGTATATGTGTGAATCTACAACATGAAATCAATATTTCTGTAATCAGGTCTTCTGAAGAATATTGTAATCATATAATGCATAATTTTTTTTTAATCCTGCTTAACTCAGACACACACAGACATCAACAATCAGTGTATGAATCTCAACAATGGTGACAATACAAAAGTGTCATGTCTCAATGCAAACTGGGTTCCAGGATATAATAAAACTCCCAGCATGCACTGCTGCATGAATTAAAAAAAATATTCCCACCATTGTTGAGATTAATGTGCTAAATTGTGATATCTCTGTGTTTCTGAAAGACAGTGTAGCTCTGTTTTTTGGTTTATGAATGATGTGTTAAAAAAAGAGTCATTGTAATTTACTGCTGTAGTTTCACGATGGTGGTAATGTAACACTTTTGATTGATTGATTAATCTCTGAATGAGTGAGAATAAATTCCTTTGTGAATGAACAGGCAATATGATGATTTTGTCATCGTAATCATTATAACTGCAATTATTCATAAACTGTGTGTGTGTGTGTGTGTGTGCACAAGTATGACTTGCAAAAACACAACTCAAGCAGTGAAAGAAACCCTATTGTTTTAGCATTAGCATACCAATGAAAGCAAGCACTGATCTCTATGATGGTAACTTCAAACCAAACATTTTCAATTAAACATCTATAGATGTATGACAGATATAAAGCCATACTGGTTAATAATAAGTATAATAATGTGCAATAGCTGGAAGTCAGTTGTAGTTCTTGTTGTTTCTCTTTCCTTCAGTGATTTTGCTTGTTAACGGCAGGTGTTCATCCCTAATGCTCAACAATCACCTACATTTTTACTTAATTACCTCACTGCAACCTTGTGTCAATGTTACTTTTTACTCTTTGTAGTGTGGATTTTCCTGTGGAGTTGAAAGGGTTTACAGTGTAAGATAAAAAGACACTCCCACAAAATGTATTTTAACAGCAATAAACTAAGTTATAAAACAGGTTTATACTGGCAACACAGGGGTGTCAAACTCCTGGAGGAGCAGAGTTCAGCTCGAACCCTATTAAACACACGAACCTGCTAATCAAGGACTGTGTCCCAAATCACTTCTTATACCCTTACATTGGGCACTTTAGTTTAGGTACTTCTCATTCATTTCTATGGTATCCACAAACAGTGATTGACATGATAGTGAAATTCAATATCATCAAGACTGTAATTTGATTGGTTGTCAAGGCAAATGTGATCTAAAGCCGGTGTGGTGAAGAGATGAGTCCCCCTAAAGAGATGAGTCCCACCTTAGGACTCAAGCGATCCGATTGGTTCAAGGCTAGTTTTATGGGTAAACGCTTTAGTGCCTGGTTACAAATTAGAGAAAATCAGTTTATTATAAGAGACTTTTGAAGTACGTTATAAGGAGTCATTAATGTATTTTAACTTATATGTTTCATATACTAGTATATAACCGAAGCTGTAGATTGTAAATTTAAACATTTCTCATTCTTATTGTTTTTTTAGTTAGCTTACATAGTAGCATAGCATTTATCCACGGCAAACGTCAGAATGACTAGCCGAGTTAAGGCTGTTCCAGGCGGGCTAGTTAGATGTGCTGCTGATCCCTGGTTCTGACAACTCCGAAAACGTCAGAACAATGTTTTAAAAAGGCGCAATCTTTAGATTTGAGCTTTAAACAACTACATTCTTGACTTAAAAACTCTTCTTAAAAATACATTTTATGACACAATAACAGTAATATGTTTAAATTTCGCGGACTTTCTCCTCTGCTGTGGACGCAACCTACTATGAAAAGCGCTAAACAAATAAACGTATTACTTGATGGCAACAAACTGCTTTTATCAAGTTATCGCGAGAACATATTTAGATCAGGCATACTACTGGCTTACTATGGGGTCCTAAGGTGGGACCCATCTCTTCAGGGGGACTCATCTCTTCACCACACCGGGTACACCGCGCAATTTATAATAGTTCTTCATGACTGTTGCTTGTCAGACTGTACAAACATGATGAACGCTATAAGCCATGTCACACTGTAAGATCTCACTTGTCATTCATTTCAGACTGTATGGCAGTCAAAACGCGTTAACAACAGACACACGCAAGGAACCTTTTCTGGAGTTTCACATCATCAGTCAGTGGCACGTTCAGGGATGTAAGCTGTGTTATACGCGGAATGGAAATGGTGGCTACAAAAAAATCTCTATCGTTAATTTTGGTCATGGCTTGTCTTGAAAAACGAAGACAATTTGCTGGTTGTCGTAGGAGAAGTCACTGCAGGACTGTGAGGCAAATCTTCTGACACTGCCAGAATTTCGTCTTGATCGCAACAGTAATCGACTGTCCGTGAACATATCAAACTAACGATCAAAGATTTCACATTTTAGCCAGAGGAACCTTTTTTGGGTTTGCTACATTTGTCTCAGATCGTGTCCAAAATCGCAGTGTGCACCCGGCTTAATTTGGACTTTATGCTTTCTCCTGGTAAAGCCACGGACCCTTGTATTTCCCAATCATAAGACCATCTCTGCTAGAAATGTCCAGACAGGTTTTGGGAGCCGGTTGCAGAACAGTTGTCCTTCAAGAGTAAAGTTTGACAAAGCACAATGGGATACTGTGGGGTATACCGACATGTTTATAGACACATGGTGAATGAATGACCTTGAGACATTCCTGGTTTGTGAAGACAAATTTCCCTTGAAACTGCACAATCATATGATTACACCAACTTGAAGAATTTAGCTCCAACCCTAATCAAATACACAACTGAACAAAGTAGTCAAGGTCTTCCGGATCACTAGAAAGGTACAGGCAGGGGAATTGAGGATCTTGAGGGCCAGAGTTGTAAACCCTTGAATTAATCCATCAAGAGCAAGAAGTTAATGATTGAATGGTATATGAATAACAAAAAACACAGATGTATTGTTGCTGAAGCTAGACTCATACAACAGCAGGTCCAAAAGTACAAGCCAGTAGTGATATACTGACCACGCTGAGATTACCGGCTTCTTCAAATAATCTTTTGCTCTCGTTGTCTACACAATCATTTATCTGTTTCATCATCTTCATTGGTTTGGGAACGCATGGATGTGTAGCTGATGTGTCTCTTCCGGGTCTCTGCAGCAGTACCTGAGGCCGGTGGAGGACGTGGCGTCGGCACAGGAGGACTGTTATAAATTCGCTGTGTCTCAGTCGAGCACTGGTACAGTAATGGGTGCCGTCATCATGGAGGGCTTCTATGTGGTGTTTGACCGAGAACACAAACGCATCGGCTTTGCTGTCAGCACATGTCACGGTGAGAGATACTCCTCGGCACTTACAGTCGCCTTTAAAAACACTTGTGTTTCCATCCAAAGTTGCGAATTTAACTCATGCGCAAAATAGAAACATTTGCAAATAAAGGAGCATTTCCATCCAGTGAGTCGAAGAGAACAAATTCGTCACTTCCTGATATACTGATGCTAAATATCACTTAGAAAAGTAGGAGAAGCCAATGTACATTATGTAAGGGTTAATGCCCGACGAGGTGTCCATTGTAAGGTTTTAATGGACGACGGCGAGGCGTGAACCAGCCGACGCGCAGCGGAGGTCCATTAAAACCTGACAATGGACACCTCGTCGGGCATTAACCCGCTTATACCATGGTCACTTGCCAAATAAAACATTAGTTTATATTTTAATTAGGCTAAATCTAGTTTTTACAAATAATAACTTGCCTGACGGTTTATTTAGCAACCGGAGATATTTATAGTCCGCTCAGCTTGTAGAACCCCTTTTTTTTTTTTCATGAAACACAAAGGTAGGCATAGTTATTTTTTTATTACACATAAAACAATTAATCAAACAACAATCAAAAAAACACAAAAAAAAAAAAACAATTAGTTCTGAGCACCAGCGATTTGCGCTTATAGAGGGCAATAAATTAACTTAATCAGATCAAAGAGAGGGTCATTTGCCTACGTGCTAGCTTTTTTTAATTTACAATTAATTTCAACGTTTCCATTTATAGTGCAATTTGAAAAAGTCGGCCAGTCAGGAGGATCCACAAAAGCTGGGTAACGTTAACGTTACTGCTGCCCATGATGGGCACTTGATGCAGACAGTACGTTGCTCCAGCTTCGTCTCTCGAGCCCGTTCTCATCCCAAAGCGCCATATAGGACGCTTTTGCAAAAGCGTAAATATCCGACGCACATGGCACCCTTTAACGTCAAATGAGACGCAGATATATTTGGGCAGAAGGCGCCCCCTAGTGGTCTAACCCTTACCCTACACCAGTGGTTCTCAAACTTTTTCAGGAGGAGGCCCCCTTGTGTAGGGTGAATCATTTTGTGGCCCCCCAAAAGAAAACTCATAACGAAAACATCCTCAAACGTACAATTGTACTTACAAATTTTAGATTGTACCAAAAACAAATGAATTTGTACAATGCTGGAACAACAGTTCTGTTTGTAGCTTTATGTCTTTGAATATACAAAATTGGTTAAATTGTACATTTCATTAAATATAACAATTTTTTTATAAAAAATGGTTTTGACAGTTAACAATAATATTGTCTGAAAAGTGCAACAAAAGTATTGAATACTGAACATTTGTGATGTTCATAGTAAAAGATGAACACTGAAAAATTAATTTGCTGATTGTAAAAAAGTGCATTAAACTTCTTACATTTTAAGGTAGTAAATGACAGTGGCTCAAGTTTGGTTTGCAATTTTGAACAGCAATCTGTTTTTTCAGCAAGAAACAAAAAAAAAATTCTACTCTACTTAAAGAAATAGTTTTTCAATATAGAAGACATACAATTTTATACAAGTTTTACAATATAAAATAAATCATGCAATGCAGATTTCACATAGGACAATACAAACTTACATACAGGTAAAATCATTTTTTAAAATAATTTCATATTCTAGAATTTCTTTGCGGCCCCCCTAGCGCCATATAGTGGCCCCCCCACGGCCCCCAGTTTGAGAACCGCTGCCCTACACCATACCTAAACTTAACCATAACCGAAGCGTCTCATTAGACGTTAAAGGGTGCCATGTGCGTTGGATATTTACGCTTTTGCAAAAGCGTTGTATATGGCGCTTTGGGATGAGAATGCGTTGGTCTCTCACGGACAGACGGAGCCCAGTAAGCCCGCAGACTGCTCTCGCATCGATGGCCTCACCGGCATCGGAGAGTCGACCTACAGCATACCAGTCGTCAAAGTTGCCATATTCTCCATAAATGTTAAAAGAAATAACGAAGTCGCTCATTGTTGTATTAGATGTTTGTTTTGATAGAGCGTTTGACTGCCTGTTGCTATGGTTACTCACAGCTGTTGTGGGCAGCGCATTTATTTATTCATTTCGAATGGTAAACAGGCAGTTTCACCAGAACTACTTTACTAGGTGTCCTCTATCACTTTTTAACGGACACCCTGCAGCCAATCAGAATCGAGTATTCACCCTTTAACGAGTAGACCCTGGAAGGGTCTAGAGCCTCCATTTTTGCACTCAAGTTTAAGTCTCATGGCCCTCTATCAGAATCCAGAGTTTTGAGAAGATTGGAGAAACTTAATTTTTCGCCCGAAAAAAAAAATACGAAAGGGGTACCACTGTCGTTTTGTTTTTCGGGTGGAATTTTTGAGTTTCCATATCTCAGCTCTGGAAGGGTCTAGAGCCTCCATTTTTGCACTCAGGTTTAAGTCTCATGGCCCTCTATCAGAATCCAGAGTTTTGAGAAGATTGGAGAAACTTAATTTTTCGCCCGAAAAAAAAAAAACGAAAGGGGTACCACTGTCGGTTTTTTTTTCGGGTGGAATTTTTGAGTTTCCATATCTCAGCACTGGAAGGGTCTAGAGCCTCCATTTTTGCACTCAAGTTTAAGTCTCATGGCCCTCTATCAGAATCCAGAGTTTTGAGAAGATTGGAGAAACTTAATTTTTCGCCCGAAGAAAAAAAAATGAAGGGGTACCACTGTCGTTTTTTTTTTTCCGGGTGGAATTTTTGAGTTTCCATATCTCAGCTCTGGAAGGGTCTAGAGCCTCAATTTTTGCACTCAGGTTTAAGTCTCATGGCCCTCTATCAGAATCCAGAGTTTTGAGAAGATTGGAGAAACTTAATTTTTGCCCGAAAAAAAAAAACGAAAGGGGTACCACTGTCGTTTTTTTTTCGGGTGGAATTTTTGAGTTTCCATATCTCAGCTCTGGAAGGGTCTAGAGCCTCCATTTTTGCACTCAGGTTTAAGTCTCATGGCCCTCTATCAGAATCCAGAGTTTTGAGAAGATTGGAGAAACTTAATTTTTCGCCCGAAAAAAAAAAAAAAATGAAAGGGGTACCACTGTCGTTTTTTTTTCCGGGTGGAATTTTTGAGTTTCCATATCTCAGCTCTGGAAGGGTCTAGAGCCTCCATTTTTGCACTCAGGTTTAAGTCTCATGGCCCTCTATCAGAATCTAGAGTTTTGAGAAGATTAGAGAAACTTAATTTTTCGCCCGAAAAAAAAAAAACGAAAGGGGTACCACTGTCGTTTTTTTTTTTCCGGGTGGAATTTTTGAGTTTCCATATCTCAGCTCTGGAAGGGTCTAGAGCCTCCATTTTTGCACTCAGGTTTAAGTCTCATGGCCCTCTATCAGAATCCAGAGTTTTGAGAAGATTGGAGAAACTTAATTTCCCTTTCGTAGTCACTTCGAGTTACGTCAGAAGTGACGGAGATTGGGGGATTTCGCATAGAAAGCCAATCCTCTTCGAGTATTTAAACACGAGCCAATGGCATGCAATGCCTTGGGGCTGCGGAAATTTGCATAGCGTACTCCGCCCTACTCCGTGAGTATAAAAGGAGGAAGTGAACGCAACCGCAGTATGTTTTCGCTTCGGAGCCAAGAGAACCTCTTCACTCCTCAAAGCTGATTCAAGACTCTTCGAGACGAGCGTCCTCTTCAGTGTTGGTGTGACGGCGGTACCCAGCGAGTTTCTGCATTGCCTGCGATCTGTGCAGTGGTCTGCCAGACTTTGCGCTTCTCCCTGGTCGCCTCAGCGCTGAAAGAGTGAATTTCCTCCTCTCTGTAAAAGAGCTACACGCGGCACGTCTTTTTAAAGACGGTTCGCCCGTGTTCTTCTGGATGCGGTCGATTTCTGTCGTCATCTGATGGTCGCGATCGCTGCTCTGTATGCCTGGGCATTCTGCATGCAGCAGCAGCGTTCGTGGATGACTCATGTTCCTGCTATGGGGACATGACCATCTCCACACTGAGGTTAAAAAAAAAAAAAAAATAATAATATATTTTATATATAAAATATATATTTTTATATGTAAAAAAAAAAAAAAAATCTCACTAGAGTGAGAGCCCCGGTCCCCCTTACTCGATCGGCTTCCTTCACGAAAGGGGGCCCGTCGACCGGGGACCCGGCGAATTAACGGTGACGGTGTGGCATAAAGCCCCGACGATTTCTCGGGCCACACCTCCCGCCTCAGTGCGTGAGCCAGCGAGCGTTAGTTCGATTCAGTCGGCTGCCTCTTCAGTGGTACCGGCTGCTTCGAGCAGCGCTCCAGATGATGATGTGATGTCGATCGCAGCATCACTAGGCGGGCTACAGTCCTCGGGAGATGAGGATGCGGCTGCACTGCCCCCTTCGGGAGAGCCAGCGCTGCCCGTGTCGGATCCCGAGCTGACGGCATGCTGTCTCAAGCCGCTGGGAGTATTGGGTTAGAGTGGCATCCTCCATTCTCCCCCGATCTCTCACGGAGGGATAATTGGTTTTTGGACAAAGCTGCCGCCTTCGAGGCCACGGCCAACTCCATTGCCTTTTTTTCCCCGAGCTGCATGCGGAGTTATCGCGCTCTTGGGGGACTCCTCTGTCCACTCGAGAGCGCGATCTCTCCCCCGCCTTTCCCCCCTCGATGGGGGGGCCACCCGTGGGTGCACTGGGATGCCCCCGCTGGAGCGTTCTGTTGCGGTACAGCTGTGTCCACAGAGCGCCTCCTCCGTGGTCCTCCTAGGCACCCATCCAAAGCCTGTAGGTTCTCGTCTGCCATGGCGGCGCGTTCCTATAGAGCGGCGGGACGGGCGGCCTCCGCTTTGCATGCGATGAGCACTGTGCAAGCGCAGATGCTCAGAGATATGCTCGAGGGCGGGACTGATCCAACGGCATTCGAAGATTTGCGGTCCGCCACTGACCTTGCTCTCCAAAAGGGCAACGAAAGTGGCCGCTCGCGCCGTTGGTCAGGTGATGGCCACTAGTGTGGTCCAGGAGCGTCAACCTGGCAGACACTCGGAGCGCTGAGCGGATTCGTCTGCTCGACGCCCTTCTCTCCCAGGTTGGCCTTTTTTGGCGGTGCAGTCGAGAACTCTTGCCCAGCAGTCTCCACTGCCCAGGAGCAGACGGAGGCAATCAAACATGTTCTGCCCCGACGACCAGCTGCTGCCTCCACCCAGTCGTCGGCACAGATGCCTCCCGCTGCTCGCCGCCGAGGACGCCCCCCCGCGGCTCCCCTGCCTCCCGCCCCGCCCCAGCAGCAGCCTTCATC